AGAAGGCCCTTCAAGTCGAATCACCGTATATATAGATCACAAGAACCTTGAGTATTTCAAGTTAGCACATATTTTAAATCATTGCCACGCTCGTTGGAGCATGTATTTGTCAAGATTCGAGTTCAATATCACTTCTCAATCAGGAAAAAAATAAGTTTTGTTTGATGTCATTTTTAGACATTTTTATTATACACTGAAAGATGGAGAAGCAATTTTTGACCAACAAAAGAAAATTTTAGTGAAGCTAGAATAATTTTATCTCCAAGTAATGAAATCAACATTAGCTATTGATTTGACTTTTTTCAAGTAGATCTAAGCAAATATGTCTTCAGAACTTCTTATTTATGATATTAAAAATAATTCTTCTTAGTCTCAAGATACTTCCAAGTTTGAGTTTAAGAAGTCAACTTGAATAGTGTGGAATGCACACATTTCTATCTTGGCATAGAGTCCCGCATCTCTTAATTTTTGTAACATTTAATGAATATGAAGTTCATATTCATCTATGTTCTTAAAATAGATCAAGATGTCATTCAGATAACAAACATCAAAATTATCTAAAAACTCTCAAAAAACATCATTCATTAGATGTTGAAAAGCTGCTAGTTTATTTAAAAGTCCAAAAGGCATGACATTGTATTCAAAATGTCCATACCTAGTTTGAAATGTAGTCTTCTATTCATCTCCTTCTTTAAAAAGTACAAGATTGTATGCTCTCCGTAGATCTTTATTTGTATAGATCTTAGCTTGATTCAATTCATCGAGAAGTCTGGATATCAAAGATAGAGGATGCCTATTTTTGATGGTGATCTTGTTGATTCCTCGATAATCAACACACATCTGCAATGATCCATCTTTCTTCTTCACAAATAAGATTGGAGCTCCTGTAAGTGATTTGGAATGGCATATGAAATTCTAAGCCAGATTCTCTTCAATATATTCCTTGAATTCAGCTAATTCATTTTGTGATAAACTACAGATTGGTCCAAATGGCAATTGTATTGCTTCTTGAAGGTCAATTGAGTAGTCATAGGGACAATGTTTTGGAAGAGTATTCACATTCTTCTTCTCAAATATATCTTAAAATTCTTGATATTGACTAGGAATGCCATTTGAAGTCTTTGCATCATTAAAAACAGGTGTGGCATAAATGACACAAGGAAATCTTTTTTTTGCAGCATGCAAAAAAGCTCTTGCATTTACATATATAGATTTAATAGTATTAGGCTTATGACTTTTTATTGGATTAATTTTACTCTTAATTATGTTTTTAAAGAAGTCAAGGATACGTGAAATCCAATCTATGCAAGGATTATACTTTTTTAACCATGATAAACCTAAAATGACTGGATTAGAGGGAAATTTAATTATATTAAAGATTATGCAACTGCTATGACCATTTATTGCTACATCTATAGGAAGTATTTTATGAGTAACATCTCCAAAAGACAACGGACGACCATCAATGACTTTTACATGAATAAGTTTGATTTTTTGTATTAATGATATTTTATAATTTTTAACAAATTCTACATCTAAGAAACAAGCTAAGGCTCATGAATCTATCAAGGCAGAGGCTTTATAATTATTAGGTCCTAAACGCTCATCTATTATAAAACAAGAAGAGGGTTCTGATGAGAAGATAGGAACTTTATTAGAAATTGTATAAGATTTCAACCGCACGCTCCCTATTGTAGCTGAACAAATTTGTTTTTTGATACATTGTCTTCTTTGATAGATGTGCTCCTCATTTTATAATTTTATCTCTTCTTTGGACAATATTGAGTAGTGTGTTTAGATTCTCTTTAAGATAAGCACAATCCTTCTTGATGGAAAGGAGTCTTTTCTTGCTTGGTAAGAGGTTTAAAACATACTGCATCAATTTACATATCCTCTACTTCTGAATGTATGTGTTGAGGAGATGTTGGTATTATCATGAAATTGTAGTAACGTTGAGGCCTATTTATATGACTCTCAGATTGAAATTCAAAAAGTTGATTGTCGCATTTGATAACAAAATCAATTGCTTCACTCAATGTTTGAGGATCAGGTAAGTTGAGCATTAATTTCTTTACTTCATATTATAATCTATAGAGAAATTAGCTAATAAAAGCAACATCATCCCACTTGATATCAATTGTAAGTTGTCAAAATTATGAAGCATATAACGTTACAGATTGATTGTCTTATCGCAAAATAAAGATCTTGTTGATTGCAATATGAATTGTATCATGTTCTCTATACATGGACCAAAATTCTGCCAAAAATGCCTCTAGATTATGCAATATTAGATCTCATTGTTCAAAAAAAGATGAAAACCATGATAGTCTTGAATCTCAAAGAAGTGTACCAATAAATCTAACTTGTGATCTTGGAGTTGGATAGCTTTGAATTTAAAGTTCAATCACAAGTTATACTTGATTGATAAATCTTCAAAATTTAGATCTTGTACCATCAAACTTCTCGGACATGGCAACTCTTGTTTTTCTAATACTTAAAAGATGGTCCACTATGGGTGGAAGAACATGATTTGATACAGATGTTGAAGCAGCTCTAATCATTTCTATATCCACACTTTTTGCCATTCTTATTGATTCTTATTGTGGTAAGCTAAGTTGATGTATCGCAAGCATCAACTCTCTCAATTGCTCTTGCATTTGTGCTATTGCACTCTTTATTACAACAAGCTCTGCCATAATAATAGTCAAAAAAATATCTAATGTCACCCAAGACAAATAAAAGAAAAGACTTGAAGAGAAAGAAAATACTAAGAACAATATCAATTTAGAAGAGGGTAATCCGCACCTTCTAATGTGCTTATGTCTTATCATGAGAAAGGGATAATCCACTCTTAATCAAGACAAGACAAAGCTCTGTTATTGTAAGTGGACTCTTGTCAATCTGTCAAGGACATGAACTAAAAGATGATGCATAAACCAATGAAATCTATGTCAAAGAAAGAGTGACAAAATAGATATAAGAAAGTACATATATTAAAAAGAAACTGGAATTGCTTATTGCCAAAAGACAAGAAAACTTGAGACTCTTGAAACTAAACTAGAAGCAAGAAAAAAGTTGAGAAGAGTCAAGAAGGCTTTACTCTTATCTCTATATATACTATCTAACTATGGACTACATGGCAATGTTTTATAGGACCTCCAATATGTGTTGACTTTGTAGGAAACATGCTTTGATTTATAAGACAAGTCTTTCTATGTGTGGGCCACATAATTAGCTTGGTCTTCAAGCTAACAACATGTGTGGCACATGGCCAACTTGTTGACCACGTTTCTAATTAAAAAATTCAATTAAAGACACCTATAAAGTGAAGCAACGTCTAAGAAGCTTCTAAAAAGCTTTCATAGAAGATATTATAGAATTAATTTACTTTTACTTACTTCTACTTACTTCTACCTATTTATACAAGTAATTATTGGCTTACTTGCATATGTCTGTGACAAGCGTGAAAGACATGAAGAATCAACAACCAGTGGATTCAACTTAAGAGCCATCATTTTTGACTTATCAAATAAGACATTGTGATTATCATAGCTTTTTAGATGATGTAACAGGGATGAAGACCTTCAAGAACAACATGTTCTTTCTTGAATAGATGGTGAGATATAATGTATTTAATATATCAACATGAAAAGAGACTCTAAATGTTTGGTGATTTTAATTAGAGATAGACATAACTCCTGATGGTATTACAAATGTTTTGTTTGAAGGAAGTTACAAAGGTTTCAACAATGATCAAATAACAAGGTGGTCTTTTGGCCTTAGAATGGGACATCATTGATGGCTGAGAGGATCTATCAACTACCTTCAAAGAAAAGAAAGATTATAGTACAACAATGTCATCTATATATATATATATATATATATACATTATAATTGTTACCTAAATAATATGAATAAGTAGAAGTAGATAAAAATAGATTAATTTTATAGGATCTTCTAAAAAAGCTTTTTAGAAGTTTTTTAGACATTGTTTTGACTTCATATATGTTTGTAGTTGATTTGTAGATTAGAAACTTAGTCAACAAGCTAACCAAGTGCCATATGTATTGATAGCTTGCAAAACAAGCTAACTATGTGGTACCCATATAAAAAACTTATCTTACAAGTTAAGATATATGTCATACTAAGTCAATATGTTTTTGGATGTCCTATAGAACGTTGCTACATAGATCCTTGGTAGATAGTATATATAGATGCAAGAGTGAAGCCTTCTTCAATCTTCTCAATTCTTTTCTTATTTCTTGTCTAATTTCAAGAGTTCTTAGTTTTCTTATTTTTTGATAATAGGCATTTCAATTTCCTTTTTAATATACATATTTCTCTATTTCTATTTTATTATATTTTTTTGAATGAATCTTGCTTGTTTATTTGCTTTCATTGAATTCTTGTTCTTGACACCCTGTACAAATATCAAAAGACCTCTACAAGCTAGTCTTCACATTGATCATTTCAAAAGCTTGTGCATGACAATTCTAAGATCTTATAGTGAGGTGTGAGGGTAGTAGGGAAGCCATGTAGAGAGAAGAGGGTGGCAGAAAAGCCATGTAGAGAAGAGGGTGGCAGAAAAGCCATGTAGAGAAGAGGGTGGCAAGGAAGGGAAGCCCAACCTAACCTTCATCCCAATGGAATGCAGAGCAATTAGATAAACCTGTTGCAATTCCATTTTTTTTTAAAACATATACATATATATGTATTCTATTCTCTCAAACACTCATTGTACATATTAAATCACTCATATATTATACACACATAGAGAAATGTATGTTACATAAATAGTATTGATGATTGTGTTGATTCATTCCACGTGGAGGGATCCCACAGCTTTCGATTCTGCTCTCTTTATTACTCCTCAGAAATAGGAACTGTCATCCCTCCATGGGTCGAGTCATGCGTTGACACGTAGACACCCGGTCCCTTGCCATTCATACCCGTACACCTCCCCGGGTAACGTGTCAGCCCACGATCCCTTTCCAGAGGAAACAAAAGTTTGCCGTTGGGATTCGCGGGCGTAGATCAGTCCCTCTGCTACCTCGTGAGTCCATGGCGATGGCGGAATCCTCACGATGCTTGTGGGTGCCAATTCTCTAGGGGTATGTGTACCCGTGGGCCGGCTTCCTCCTCGACCCTCCGTTGCTGCTCCACTCTCTCACCCTGGCCTCTATGTGGCGTCTGTGGTAAGTGACGGAGTGCCTGAATCTCGTCTAGAATTTGTTGGGATTGCTTTTCCAGTTATTTTGGCAACTGTGCGGAGCGCGTCGGTTTTTGAAATTTCTAGTAAGGTTCGTTAGTAGCGTTGTTAAGGGAGATTAGGCTGTTTGTTGAAGTATTTGCCTTAAGATTCTCTGTTTATGTTCGGGATAGGTGGTTTGGTTTCTACTTCTAAGGATTAGCTGTCTCTGTTTGGAAGGATGCTAGGCGTGGTTATTCTAGGGTGTTGATTATTTATTTATTTATTTATTTTCATTTCATTTTCATTTTGTTTCCTTTTCGCCTTCTGTTTTTCTATCCCGTGTGTTAGTTCGAGCTTCGATTACGGTTTCTTGTCATTAGCTAGGATCTGAATAGGTTGTCGAGGTTATTCAAGGTTTGAGAAAACTAAATTCATCTGTGCGAGGAATTGGAATCCTACTTCCTTCGCTACATGCCTACAAATCTTTTTAACCGTTCCGTCATAGAGAGATTTAGAACCCTCCTCTCATTCGAGTTTCGCTGGCGTTTGTAAGCTGGAATTTCGTTGAAGAATTCAGGCTTCGTCACAAGTTGACGCAGTCTGTAAGAATGTTGAAAGACTTCAGTTTTTGTGTACCAAGCTGCTGTGGTCCCCTTTTGTCTAGATCTACTGTGATGTTAACGTTAAGAAAATCATTTTAAATTCATTCATGGGCCAATGTTGTTTAATATGCTCAACTGTCACTTTAGTGCAACATGTCATCCAGCACCACTGATTTTATTTTCTATCTTTTATAAGTAATCGTGTTGGTTACATTTCACAGGAATTTCTCGACCGTGAGCCCTATTCGACACGAATGGGCGCTGCTAAACCTTAATTTCTAGGCTCAGGTGTTGATAGATCGCTAGTTCGAGGGAAACAGGGGGTCCTTGAAAATTCCTTTTGTATTACAGGTAAGGATCACCATCAATCAATTGCGATGGAGAGTATCTGCAGACTGGGGGCAATGAAGTTTCACACAGCCCTAATCGCTGTTCTTCTCTTGACTTTCTTAAGTGCAAGCCAAGCGCGACTAATATCTTCAGATGCATCGGACGTGTATGAGAAACTCGAGACATTCGGGTTTCCTGAGGGCTTGTTGCCTCATACCGTCACAAACTACATCCTAGAACCAAGTGGGAAATTCACGCTCTATTTGGAAGGTAGGTGTCCTGTTCTCATTGAAGACAAGTATCCGCTGATCTACGACAAGGTGATCACTGGAATGCTTTCGTATGGGAGGCTGCAAGGCTTGAAAGGCATCTCCGTGAAAGCGTACTACGTATGGTGGAGCATCACTGGAATTGCGCTAGGTGACGACCACAGCCTCTTCTTTGAGATTGGGATATTGAGCGCGAGGTTTCCTTACAATAACTTTGATGACCCGCCTGTTTGTGGAATGAGATCATCTGCCGAGGCAGCTTTCATGGATCCTATTCCACTTCAGTAGATGGTTTTCAATCTTCTAGACAGTTAAGCAGGTCATTGTTTAGTGGTGGTTTGTTCTTACTTCTTTGTTGCCATTTGCGGGGTTTGGTTATTGCCACACTCATCTAGGTATACCATGTAGGCATACAGTCTCTAGTTAGAAACTTGCAGGGGGAGGATCTCGATTTATTTTTATTTTTATTTTTTTTTTTTCGAAATGCGAGAAGGTGCAGTCCACTAGATCTGATACTCAGGATCCCGTTCATTATAGTCTGCAGATAGATTCATAGATTTTGTTATTTTCATGATCTTCTGTAATCCTACAATTTTTGGCATGAAGAAATTGAAGGTTTAAGTACACTTTTTTCCAAACGATCTCTGTTAGCAAACTTCAACATGCTAATATTACTGTGGACATTAATTTGATGATTAATTAATTAAGTGGCCCTGACCTCTAAAATGCTGGCAAATGCTTGTGAGGAACGATTGCAATCTGTGAAGATCTGCATTGTTCAAGGACTTCACTCCCAGAGTGATATTCTTCTGTAGAAATAAGCCTTTTGGAATCATGAAAGATTTCTGAAAAGTCCTCCAGTATAGATTGTATCGCCTCCTGAGTGTCATCACTAACAGCCGGGAGTGCAGCATACCCTACAGCTGTCAACAATGACAACCAGTCGCATCTTCCGGAGAAAATCTACTTGTCGATCAACTCCTAACATGTGGCACTTGCGCGCACACAACCTTATCAAGTCAATACCCGGCCTATTCCAGGAGTAAACATTCCTACATTGTGGTGACCTTTTCCACGAAAAAATCTCTATCCGACTCAGAGAACAGGGCAAATGGAAACCGACCGAGGAAATGTAGAAGCTCTAGGCTGGATTGCGGGAGACGAGGTCTTCAGCCGCGCTGGACGGAGACGGAAAGCAAAACCTACACGCACCGCAAATATGGTAGGAACAAGGCCGAGTGAGAGCAGGACCCGAGGCTGATCCGCTCCATGCAAGGAAGGCACTGCAAGTGATCCTGAACTTGGTGCCCTGCTTCACAGAAATTGCAACGACGAGATATGCGCAGGAATCAGCGGCTATGGTGAACTAGAACTGCTCAAAATTAGTCGCGACTCTATCACCATGCATGTACGGAACATACTCTGAGCAGCGATGCCAAGTCCCAGGAAGGCAACCCGTGCGATTGGGAACGTCGGGAACATGATGGAAACGCGGAGGGGAGCGCCGCACGGAGTCAATGGGATTGGCGCCAAGTTAGTTAATGACCACCTCAAGGATGCCGGCTGTGCCGCATGGACTGCTTTGATTTTCTCTAGCCTACCAGTCCCCGCTGCGATTGTTCTCTCGCGCAAGCGCTGCTGAATCACAACCTCACTCCCGGCTTGCTTGCTTGTTGTGAAGAAGATCATCACCTTGCCATCGTTTCGAGGTGCGCGTTGCGCGGTTTGGTGGCTTGTTGGAGCTGATGTTTGGAAATTCCAGGAAGTGGTGTCATTAGGAGGCTGATCTGCTGTGGATGGAGTACAGTTCAGCTCATTCTCTTGTTCTTGTTCTGTCTTCTTTTTGAGGTCTTGAATGATTTTGAATGAGTGGAGGTCTTTCGTGAATTTTTTTTTCTTGGAAAGGGCAGTTTTGACTGATGTCACAGGTCTTGCTTCCTTGGTTAGGGCTTATCATACGTTAATTAGCTTTGTCGGTTTGTCGTGGAGATTTGACGGACGAGGAGGCAGGGCTCAACTTATGGAATACGAGTCTCGGAACATCAGACGTATAGATTAATGCCTAGATTTATCTACCAAACAAATCGATCTCGATTCTTAAGTGATTGAGGCTTTTGTCGCTTTCTCTTTTTTCTTTTCTTCTTTGATAATATTTTGATAAATATTATTATGATGATGTCGGTTTTTCTCGAATCGATTTTTTTATAACTCTGGTAGAAATGTTTGCACAAATGCTCTAGATTCTGAACTAAACTTGGAAACTGATATTCAGGTTCTTTAAGAAGACCTGGCGAAGCAGAGAGACAGTGGTAATTAGAAAGTGCGGCCTGTGATGTGATTTTTCAACCCTATCATATGCTTGCTGTTTTCACAGCTGAGAAGGAGAATTTGTGTATTTAGGTTGAGTAGAAATGGCGAATGGATACCATGAGTACGATAACAAGATAGATTACGTGTTCAAGGTTGTGCTCATTGGAGATTCGGCGGTCGGAAAGTCTCAGCTGCTGTCTAGATTTTCTCGCAATGAGTTTAGTCTCGAGTCTAAAGCTACAATTGGAGTCGAATTTCAGACTCGTACCATTGTTGTGGATCACAAGACTATCAAGGCTCAGATCTGGGATACAGCTGGACAAGAAAGGTATGTCAATTCTTTACGCTATGCTCTGCAGTAATTTAATAAATTTATGAAAACTCCCACTTGAACTTCATCTGTGCAAATTATGCCTTGCTTCAAAGTAGATGTTATTATCCCTACGTGGCTTTTATCCAAGTTCAAAGTTTGTATGTTTATGTCTCCAATTTGATTACGTTATGTGTTTTTTGTAATCTCAACGTAATTGTCAAATTTGCTTCGACTTTGAGCTTTTCTAATATAGCTTTTGGTCTGAAGAAGGATATTGTCCTTAAATCTTATTCGGCACTGGACAGCAGACCTCTCTGAATATTTAGTGTGGTGTTTTCATTCGAGTGCAGAGTACATGTCTAGGATCTTGATTATTTCAATCTTATGCTTTTTTGTAATGATTAAATTATTTTACAATTAGATGGGCGATTTTACTCACGTATAATATACAATGCTGAGCAGATACAGGGCCGTGACAAGTGCTTACTATAGAGGGGCCGTGGGTGCTATGTTGGTCTACGATATCACAAAGCAACAGTCATTCGATCACGTTCAAAGGTGGCTTGAGGAGCTGAGAGCTCACGCAGATGCAAACATCGTAATTATGCTGATTGGTAACAAGTCGGATTTGAGCAACTTACGGCAGGTTGACACAGACGTCGCAAGAGTGTATGCGGAGAAGGAAAAGCTGTCTTTTCTTGAGACGTCAGCCATGGAGTCTACAAATGTGGAGACGGCATTTTACGCCGTTTTGTCCGAGATCTACAAGATAGTTAGCAAGAACGCTCTTATTGCAGATGAAAACCAAGGAGGCACTCCCCTTTTGTCTGGCACGAAAATCAACCTTACAGACAAGGACGATGTAATTGGCTCTAAAAGAGCAGGATGTTGCTCAAGTTGAACACGTCTGGACTCTTATACTATTTTTAGTGGGTGTTATGTACAGTCAATAAAGTAAGTACTTGTAGTTCAGTACCTGCTGCATGCCATTATTAGCCATGTATATAAAATCGATTTATTGAGGTGCCGACCCATTTGTAGAGTTTGTTTACAGTAGTAAAAGTTGCAATTCGGGCCTCGTTACATCCTTGGAGTTGATGGGTAGTGTCTCGCTAGCCTGAGAGAGCTGGTGCACGGTCGCCGCTTCCGTTTCTGTTCCGAGTCACCTTAGAAGTGGTTCCCCTCTTTAATTGGGTTGTAGTCTAGCCAGCCGATAAGCACCGAATTTATATGGTTAGTTTTATTCTAGCAAGTTTCATTGATGTGCCACCGCTGAATTGCCATGAAATAGAAGGTCAGCATACGATGCGGTCCGATTTCTTCCTGCTTCTTTTCACGTTTCTGGTTCTTGCAATATTAAGTTTCTCTTGAAGCATGTTTGTCAAGGAAAGGATACAATTAATCTGTTCGAATTATCCTAAAACACAAGCATAAATGATCTGATATTTTTTTTTATTGATGATATGTACGTGAAAAAATAAGATGAACTAGTTGAAACATAAAATGACGTCCTCTTAAAAAAACCAACTATCTAGACATCTGACATTTCCAATGAAGCTACTCCACTTTTTTTAGGCTCTTCTAACACTGAGTGCGACGGTTGAATTAAACCAAACATATATTTATAGTGTTTGAGAATTGTCGTAAGAATATATTAAAAGTGAATAATTTGTTCAAAGCAAACAAAATTGTTTAGTCAGAAATGTCATACTAAAAAAATATTAAGAATGCTTACTTTTACTTTTTTATAAATCTAAATAACAATTGAGGTCAAATTCAAATCAATATTCCACACCTAATTCTTTAACCCGATCAAAATGATGCATTTTAGAAACAAACATGCAAATAATTCCTTGGACTATACATATGATGAGAATTTTACATTTTACATTTTAATGGATAAGAAAAGAAAAGAAACGAAAAGACAGTATGAAATGCTGTGTTTCTAATATCCTAAGATTTTTTTTTTTTATTTTTTATTTTTTCTAAATGTTCTTGTTTAAGAATTTTTTTTTTTTGCATTTTTTAAACATCAATATTTAGAGCTGTATTTTCAGATATACTTTTGTACATCCATTTCCAATTTCTAACGAACGTTATAAAAAAAGAAAAAAGAAAAATGGTACTTTACTGAACTAATTAATATGTTTCAGAACTGAAGATATTTACAGTGTTAATTGAACATTGATTGTTATGATCCTCACATTTATTATGAACTAAACTATCTTTATAATGAAAACGCACATCACTTCAAGATGTGATAATTCTCAAATTCATGAAAATGCATGCATATATATATATATATATATATAGACATACATACAGAGAGAGAGAGAGAGACTTGTGTTTAAATTTGATTTTCATAAGTTTTAAATTATGAATTATTTTGTATACCTGCAATCGACATAAATAATACATCAATATGATTTGTGGAGTATTTGAAAAAGCTTACTGTACATTGAAAAAGTGCAAATTGATATTTTGACCTTTATTTTCTTTTTCCTTTTCCTCTAACAGTTTGCACTGAGGGTTAAAGCCCTCAACTTTCCAAAAAAGACCAATCTAACAATATATAAATACATACATAATTATACAAACATATGCTAGATCAATTTAAACCGCCAGGTATGAAAGCACATAAAAAAAAAAAACGAAATATCACTGTAAACCCTCTATAAATATTTAAACAAGTAGAATTACACACGCATGCACACAAAATTCTAAACATTGTATTAAGAAACATGAACACCTTACAAAGCTAAGTTGGGGACAACTCCCACCTTTCCTATGAATGGGAAAACCCCACCTCCTGAATAAAATTGAAGGTTTTTTTATAATGAGCTTACATGGAGTTGGGTAATAAAAAAGTTGGCCATGAGTTTGGCGTAACGGACTCCCACCCACTCAAACTAACATGCCATTCAATGCCCCACCTTCGCATTCAAATGCGCACTCACGGTTTCACTTTTTACTTTAAGGCGGAGCCCCTTCGACTTTATCGTCGAGATTCGTCGGTACTCCGGCGTCATCCCGACGGACAGGGCGAAGTACGACGGACGAAGTGCTAACGAGGCGAGAGTTCGCTAAGCCATGACCCCCGGGGCCCCCTTGTGCTGCTGGTGTATCACTCGCTCGCAGCATCAGCACACAGCACGCAGCAGCACGCATCCCAGGGTTTCATTGTGTGCGGCACCGTCGTCGGGCATTGTTGTGTGTGCGTGTTTCCATCGCTTGAGCGATTGATTGCGTGTGAGAACATGAAGGCCGCCGCGGCGCAGGTCTCGGATGGGGGAAAGAAGAGCCAGGAGGAGGCGAAGCCCAGTCGCCCCGCGGGGGAGCTTCTCTTCTGCGGGAGCAGCTCATGGGAGACCATCGGGAAAAAGCAGACGGGCGATGGCAGCACGTTGCTTCCGAGCCCCACGCGGCTGAGCGTCTTGCAGGGAGTGCCGATCGTGTTCGTTGCTGGAGGCTCGAGTGCGTGAGTTTGAGTTTTTCATGTGCATTATAATTTTTTCGTCTTCTTCTTCCTAAGTTTTTATATATATATATATATATATATATATATATATATATATATAAAAACTTATATATATATGGATTTTGTTTTCCTTCTTACACGCTCAAGTTTTCTGGTTTTCCCGATGGGTCTAGAGTTTGTGCGGGGTTTAGGCGGGTGGTGTTGACCGTGGCTGGAGCACGGTGATGGTTTTTGAGGTGGTTTTCAATTTTTCTTGGCGGGAAAAGGATGTTAGTTTTCGTTCGCGCGGTTGAGATTGTCATCATTTGAAGCTTTCTGGGGTTTACGACACTGGGCGAGAAGTGGAAATTTAATTTGGATATCCTGTTTCGCAGCACTTTGTCTGCTCCCTTGTTGGTTTTTTTTAAATTATTGGCCAACTTTTACGCGCGAGCTCTGTGCAGTATTGTTGCAAAAGTATAAATGCTGTCGCTGCGTTACTGGGGGGGGGGACTAGGATCGAACTGTAGTATCGAGCCTGATATATATGGTTTTATCATCGTAGCGGATCTCAGCTTTTTCGTGGTTCTTCTGTCTTTTCTTTGTTGCTATTATCGTCAAGGTTCATGGCGTGGTTTGAATGGGATGACCACTTTTAATTTATTGCAACGGCTTCGAGTATTCAAAATTTCTCAATCGGTCATTCCTTTTGGTACGTCTGTAGTTTCATATTTCGTGTAATTTTGAATTCCATCTTGAAGCTCCTCGTCCTTGTCGCTTATTTATTATTTTCCTTCCTGCGTACTCCTTGCAGTGTTGTTCTCTTTCCTAGGGCGTCTTCCGCGTATTTTCTTTTCGGGGTTTTAGTTTTTTTGGGTTTTGTTGTGTTCTTCTACAATTTGGCTTTTAAGTGGATATGCGGAGACCTCGGCATGGTTTATTGGTGCAGGTATTTAATCTTTGAAGAAACTTCTTAACTTGAGGTCGTGTAATTAATTGCAATATTCAATTATCTAATATGAGGTAATTGGCTGGCGTATGTGCAGCCGCATGCCATTGCATAGCTCTTGATACGGAGGGTAGGACATATACGTGGGGTCGGAATGAGGTATGTGTTATTGTTTTACAGCATATGATGGATCAGTGTGGGTGGACCTCTTTTTTAGAAACTGAGGTAGCAATATTTAGAAGTTGAAAAGGGAAAATGTTCATCAAGAGGGTTTGGTGTACACACAAGTTCAAGGTCGGACCATCATAGAATTTATGTTCTTAATTTGATATTGTCACTATGTAACAGTTAGCGAGGCTGTTTTGAACCTTACAACGCTCTCATATTGGTAGGTGGACATCGTCCTGCCCAACGTAGAATAGACGGTGAAACCAAGTGACTAGAAGTCCCAATCTTGGCAAGGTTCTCTTTGTATCACTCGTATTCGTTGATTTAGACCAGATGAAAACGTTCGATTGATGCACGTTTGACTCAATCTTCTAACAGAAAGGACAACTAGGCCATGGAGACACTTTCACAAGGAACTCACCGACTATTGTGGCGTCACTAGCCAGGTGCGGAAAACTTGCAAATTTTTGACGTTTTAAGTATCCGTTGTCATCTGAGTGCACGGATAGAGTGATGTAATTTTTAGTTTATTTATCTAATTATTTATGTTAATGATACTTCGCAGTTGATTATTCTAGATACTGCTTTGGATCTATTTTCTTCTTGTCCAGTTCTTGAAATAGATGGTGAGATATTGCATGTGCGGTGAATCGTTCACGTCATTCCAAATTCGCTTAATGTGTACTCTTTGGATCAGGCATAAAGTGGTGAAAGCAGCTTTGGGTCGGACACATACAATAGTTATAACAGCTGAGGGACAGTCGCTAGGATTCGGTTTCAACAAGCATGGTCAATTAGGATCCGGCTCCTGCAAAGAAGGTTAACCTCGTACCTTGCACTTCATTTGACACTCACGATGCCTTGGTTATTTTTTGTGCAGGGGTTTATCTACCTTTTTTTTTTTTTTTTTTTTTTTTTCCATTGTTGTGTCTTAAACGGTGCGTTTCAATGCTACCTTGCAGAATTTGAAAAGTCTCCCGTCAAGTGTTTGGTGCAAGAGGCTACATCTGTTTCTTGTGGTGCCGACTTCACCGTTTGGCTGTCGTCTGCCAGTGGCTCTAGTATTTTGTAAGTTCTAGTATCCTTTATGAGTTTCAGGGAGTTTATTCATATGCTTTTAACTGTGATTGCGATGCTTTGGTGGAAGTTAAATAGCATGAAAATTTTTCAATTCTCGGAATTCTGCGGTTCACTTAGTTTAAGCATTGAAACGTGTTTATGCTTGTATTTTTAAATAACTTCCGTGGACTGAGTCGGTTTGCTACCTATTAACTGCTAGCTTTGCGATAGTTTCGACACCTGCATGTGCCACGTTTGTTAATAGTTTTTTTGTCTGTATGGGCGACAGATCGGCAGGCTTACCACAGTATGGCCAACTTGGGCATGGGACTGACAACGAGGTAAAATGTTGCCTTCATGTCATTATTTATTCCAATTGCCGAACACGTAATTCATGTATTGATATTACGAGGAGACTTTGTGAATCATCCTAGGTTTCCGATGATTCTATATCGCTGTTTTAACACGAGCGGATTTGTGACCATTTGTGGATTGTATGTGTAAAGTGAAACTGACAGTGGAGATTTTTGTGGTGAGTTGGTATTGTGTGGTAGCTTCCTATGTCGTCATTTACGTGCTTTTTTTCTCTTTGATGTTTCAGTATAATGCGAAAGAAGCTTCTGTGAAGCTAGTGTATGAAGCACAGCCTCGACCTCGTCCTATTGCAGCCATTGCCTCCAAGAGCATCACAAAGGTCGCTTGTGGCAATAATCATTCTGGTTTGTTTTTGCCTCATTTAAAACTTTTCTCTTCTTGTGTGTAAACGGAACTCACCAATATTCTTGCGTGTAGGAAAGACTTGAAAGCTTGAGATTCAGGATTTCTTTCGTTGCATGCGTAATCGTTCTTGTATAACTTTGTTTGGGAGTTGGAGGACCTAGAGCATATGCACGTGCCTGACCCAAATTTGCTGGACATATTCCTGGAGAAGTTGAGGGTATAAAGTGGCTACACCAGAGGGTCTTTGATATAACACTGTTTTACGGTATTTTCTTGCAGTTGCGGTGGACTCAGATGGCTATGTCTACACGTAAGTTTGTTTGACACTGTTCCTTCTGAATAACTGTGCATACCGTTAGTCAATTTTTACATGTATGTTTGATAAGTTTTTCTTACGGCTCTGTTAGGTTCTAGCTCTGACTGCTACAGAAGCGTGCGTGATCATATTATATATCATATTATCTATCATTTTATATCTTTTATTACGCATTTATGTTCAATGGCCATTTTCTAACATTTTTTGTGCTTATCAAAATTTGGTTGGCCATGTTCGGGTGGTTTCTGTTTCTTGAGGCTACGCAGGTGGGGGTTTGGAGGACATGGAAGGTAATATTTTGAATCGGTCTGAATATGTCTCTCAAAAAGGTTGTGTAGCAGAACGGAGTTGTCTTGGATCGGCATTTATTGCCTGTACTTCTAATGTTTCGTTTATAATGAAACTGGTTTACTTTGTATAAATTAGTTTTAATATCTATGATACTATCGATACGAGCCAGAGTTCGCTTGCTTTATGTTTGTCACTGTATACTATGGAGAACGAGTTAAGAATTGGACACGACCAATATTAAAGTCCTTGTGAGCATGTAGATGCTTGATGGCCTTATTACCAGAAGCTTAATTCGCAAGATTGTAGGTAACTTTATGTTCCAGTCCATACTAATCAAAAGACCGTTCAATAGATTGGGGCACAAGGAGCAAAAAGATGAGTTTTTACCCCGCTTGGTGGAGACGTTTCAGCGTGGCAACGTGCTTCCTTCCACAGCTGTCATAGCAGCTGGTTCCGCGTATTCTGCGGCCACAGCTGGTATATACTTCCGATTAATTTTTAACTAAACTTGTTGTCTGTTTATTATCTTCTCTTGCACATATGTAGGTGTTGTTGAGTTTGTTCGTTCCTTTCCATATATATATATATATGTATGTATATATATATATACATATATATACACTATGTATGTCGGATGTAGGGCTAGAGTGTGGACGGCTGCGTTATTGCGTTTTAGCTAACTGTTGCTTCTTTAATTGGGTGTAGCTGGCGGCCAGTTGTACATGTGGGGTCGTGTCAAGACAACAGGAGATAACTGGATGTATCCCAAGCCTGTCATGGACCTCAGGTTAGTCACCTCTGATTATTGCTTCTTTGTGTAACGATTTTCTTCGTTTTGAATTTTCTATGCATGTGCTCATATATGTCTGTTTATAAAATAATTTCTTGCAGGGGTACTTTCAAAGTCCTGAATATCTTGTCACATTCATTTTTGAATGCGTTTGTTTGCCAAACGTAGAGTTTAGGTGATGACACTTATGCTTTTTCTTAAATCATATTCGAAGTTCCTTAAATGTTTGGTTTGTTGGTTGTTTGCTCTGGCTCAAAGTGGGTGGAATATAAGGAGCTTGGACTGTGGAAATACGAGCAGTATAGCAGCAGCCGAGGATTCTTGTATAAGTTGGGGTACAGGCGTGTATGGAGAGCTCGGTTATGGACCGACTGGCCCCAAGTGAGTTTTCTCTTGAGTTTCATGGACTTGGTCTTACTGATAGCATGTTAACTGGCATAGATCGTATGGCCATTTCTTTGACTGGGTATGTTGCCTTCATATTTAGTGATTTATTCTTCTATTTTTCGTTTTCAATTGCTATATTCTGTCTTCATCTCAGATGATCTTATAGGGTTTTGTATTTGTAATTTCTCATCAAGTAGAGTCATTCAATTAGAACTTCACATGGTTTTGAACAACTATGTTAACAAGCTTTCATTTATTCTGCAGGTCGTCTGCTAATCCAAAGAAAATCGATGCGCTTGAGGGCTTCCACACTATCAGGTCCTGATTGGATATGGATCATTGATATTCTTCTCAAATAATGAGCATTTGAACCTTCGAGTGTTTTATTTCTATAATTATTTATGATTGTCTACTTGCTTGTTTGTGCAGTGTTGCTTGTGGATTGGGCCATTCGCTATTTATTGTTGATCGCGAGAAAAATGTTGACAAGTTGGAGCAGGTGACAACTAGGAAATTTGGGGTTTTGGGAATTTTCTTTTTCTTAACTTTTGTGTAACATTCACCATTGAAGACTTGACGGATATGGTTTCTACTCCACAATTACTGCTTAATGGCTGCAGAAATCCACATTGCTTGACAATGGCACTTGATGGATTCCTTGGTTTGACTGTTATCTCACAGTCGATTTCCTTTGAATGTGCTCACAGATTGATGTATTTGAAGGAGTAGAGAGCACTCAAGGTATTGCCTAAGTTTCAGAATATATGTCACCTATCCGCGCATTTGCCAAGAAGCTCATCAGTTTTAATCTTAATCGATTTCGAAGATAGGAAGTGCGTTTTGGTCGTTGAAATTTTTGCTGTACACTTACGAGCGTGATTTTGTCAGTGCCTGAAAGCAAGGACGAGGAGGCACTCTCCAACGACAAGAAGCGGAAGGCACCTGCGAAGGGTCGCGGCAAGGCTGCTAAGAAAAAAATTGAATCTGAATCTGAGGATGATGAGGACGTGGATGACGAGAGTGATGATGAGCCCAAACCTAAAGGTGCTGACCTTTGTCTTCATTCTATTGCTGCGCTTTTAAGGGTTGGCCTGTATCTTTGGATGAATAAAAACCATCATCGTTGCCCACTTACTTTGTTTGAAATACTGGGTTGGTTAGAATTTCTGGCGATCCCAGTTCTGCGCTTTATTTGTGTGTCTGGATACTGTGCTTAGAAGGTGCTGCTAAATTTGCTCAATAGTCTACATCTTATGCAATTTTTTTGTGAACTAGAAAACGTATTTTTACCTTTCATTTTCTCATCACGAAGTCTTACGACATACGAGTTCTTTATTACAGCTCGTGGCAAAGCTGCGGGACGGGGTCGTGGCCGTGGTAGACCTCCATCAGCGAAGAATGGACACGTTGAGGCATCGGCGAAGGGTCCCTCTCCTGCCGCTAAAGGGCGAGGCAGGGGTAGACCCCGTGGCCGAGGAAAGTAGAAATAGGATTCATTTCCTTTTTTTATTTTGTTTTTGATTTTTTTGACTTTTAGGCACGTTAGTGGTAGGATGTTTTTATTTCTGCAAAGTAATTGGATAGTGGTCGATTAGGTGATTTGGTACATGACAGGAGGATAAAAAGACAGTCACGAACTGCTTGAAAAGGTATGCAGACAGGGGCATAGGACAGGTCGCAAATACATTCATTCTTTTAGCGATTGCATTGAGGTCGGTTCTGTGCGACTCGCACTAAACCTGTACACTGAGTTACTTCATTTTGATTTCCTTTGCATTTATTCGATGTGCATCTGACAATGAGTTTTGTAAAAGGGAGTCCTGTTAGCCAAGTAACAGCAGCATGCCTGTTTGCTCATTTCTATTTTCCCCCAAATAGTCATTATTCACCAAAGTATTAACTTGGCCTCAGGATAAGCTTAACGCAATCCTATAGTGCATCCGAAATCAGAAGCATCATTCTACGTTCTCCCTACACCTCGCCCATCTTCACCTAAAATGATGCCATGGATTTGCACAGGTCAAAGTAAGCATACAAAACATATATCATCTTGCACATTCTAGATTTTTTTAGGAAGGTGACTGTCTACAGTGAGTTTAGATCGAAGTCCTATTCTCCACAGCTGTTCATCTCGCGAATCGTTCCTAACAGTCCGTACATGTGACGAGAAGCTGCAAGCAATATTCTTCTCGAACCCCCGGAGTTCCAGCCACATGGCAGCTTGGCTGTAGCCACTTTAGAAACCCTGTTGTTAGGTTAAAAATATATTTCTACATTCAGAAATATCCCTTCATCTTTCTTCTAGAGCTGTAAGCGACAAGGAATTTTTGAGAAACCCACTGTTGTGGAAAACCAAAGCTCCTGGCCCTAAATTTCCGATTCTGCTAACTTCCGAAAGGAATGACTTCCTGGAGTAAGGTACTGAATATCCACATCCACGCAACGCAACGCAACGCAACGCAATGCAATGGGACATATCTTCATTCAATCCATGCTGCGGGGAGCAAGATAAGGATACAACCTCTGGGAGGTCATCTATCCTTTTTAAAAGTAATATAATTATACTCTTGTTTTACGGGAGAAATACGGAGCCTTTTCTGTTCCGCTCCTAGTCTATCTGTTTTCCAGCCACGAACTATCTCTCTCCCTCGTGCTGTTCATCTGTGCGAGGCGTCTCTCGAAATCTGGATTGCCCTCGTGCGTTTCTCAATTGAGGACTTTTGGAATTTCGCACAATCTTTACCGAAATCTCAAGGATTTGCGCATTTTCTGAATTGGGTCTTTTCTCCAAGCAGGTGCATAATGACCACCTCTGCAGCGTCCATGCTGCTGGACTTGGCGCCCGCGCTGTCCTCGTTGAACATCTCGACGTCAGCCTCAGCAGCTGCCCGCAAGCCTGCGTCGCTAAACTCGTCAGTTAGCTTCCGAGGGAACTGGAACGGGCTGAGGGCTGGAGGAGTGCAGGTGGGGGGCGCCAGCACGTGGAGGAGTTTGAAGAAGGAGTTGGGGGTCAGGGTTCGTGTCTGTGCTGTTGCGGAGCTTTTCGAGTCGGAGGTTTTGGGCACTGATGAGGAGGAGGGATCTGCCGAGGAGGCGCCCGTGAAGACTGTTAAACCGAAGACTGGAAAGAGGGCTTTGATCTTGAAGAGCGACAGAGTGAGTTAACTTACTCATTCGGTTTTTATTAGCCATTTTGCTGTGGGCTTATGTCGGAATAATTACAACCGAGAATTCCACAGAGTTTGCGAGGATTTTGACCTTCCTCTTCTCTGAGTTCTCAGATTTTGGGGTGAAGAGTTGAATACAAGTGTGAGTTTAAACTCACTTTCTGCTGCTGTAATCCGGGTCTGAAGTAACGGGGTTGCCTATGAGTTTGATTCGGTTAGGACTTTATACTTGATTTGATAGTACTTTGAGAAATCAATTGGTCGAAGCACTTGGACCACATGGAAAAATATTCAGGTATCGGAATTTCAAGTTCAGCATGAATGATTGTGGACCTATTCCATGAACGTGGAGGTTTGCCACTAACCTTGGAAATTTGAAATAAAGGCATAAAACGAATTATTCTTTAGCATGAAAGCACTTCAAATAAGTGTAATTCATTTTATGGCCTTCTGAAATCACGTTCAATTTGTGACAGACAAGGTCAAAGAGGTATCTGGAGATTCAGAAGCTAAGGGAAAAGAAAAAGGAGTATGATCCCGACACTGCAGTCCGGCTGCTGAAGGACACAGCCAGTCTCAAATTCGTCGAAACTGTAGAGGCCCATTTCCGCCTGAACATCGACCCTAAGTACACAGATCAGCAGTTGCGTGCTACAGTAAGTTACTGGACGTACTTGCCTTGCGAGAATGTTGAGGCCAGTCTTTTCAGTAGGTATCTTTTCTACTTTTAAATTGTATTTGTGTGCTGATCGAAGCATAGTTGGGTTTTAGTATCCCGTTCAGCACTAGTTTTTTTAATAGGCAATATCATTTATAATGATACTGAATTTGAGTTGCATGATGTCGCAGGTATCTTTGCCGAAAGGAACAGGACAAACTATTAGAGTTGCCGTTCTTACCCAGGGTGAGTGCTTGTCTCAACTTACTGACTGGTATCAGTATTGATTTAACTACCAGAATTCCCATAGTTGCATTGTCTTGAAGTATTAAGCACGCTATATATTCTGCATTCTATTTTATTACCGTTTCACAGTAGTACAGGTTTTTCATTAATTTCTAGTTAGGCCTAAATCACAGCATGTGATTTATATGGAAATAGTGTGCCTTAAATACCGGTACTGTCAGTACCAACAGCCAATTCTGCTATAGAATTAATCCCTGCCCTCGAACTTCACCTGGTTGAAAGTGGTCTCCTATGTCTTTATCATGGCAGGTGAGAAGCAACAGGAGGCAAAAAATGCTGGTGCTGATTTTGTAGGAGCTGACGATTTAATTGACGAGATCGCCCGTGGTATGATGGACTTCGACAAGCTCATTGCTACTCCAGACATGATGCCTAAGGTTTATCTCTTTCTTTTCTTCACATTTTCTGCATAAATGTAGGAAGTGCGCAAGTTTCTTTTGCGCGTCCTGGAAAATTATAATATTCGCGTTGTTCTACGCAGAACGACGTAAAGGGAACTATCATCTAGTCTCTTTATTATTGTTTGATCCTTAAGTATCGCTGTGTATGACAGGTTGCAAGGCTTGGAAGACTTCTAGGTCCAAGGGGTCTGATGCCTAACCCAAAGGCTGGAACTGTTACCGTTGACGTTACCTCTGTACGCATCTGAACCCCTTCATGTATGTAGAACCTAGCTTGCTTTGATCATTGAAATTAGGGGTTTGTTTATTTGCAATTTTCTCTTTGGGGTGTGTGTGATGTTCTTTCTTTGTTTGGAGCTCATTATTTTTTATGACACGCTAATACATTACGTCGGTAATGTAGTTGTTAAGCTGCCCAATTTCGTGTTCAATATAAAGACATCTGAAATATAGCTGTAATCTTTTTGCAGGCAATTGGAGAATTCAAGGCTGGAAAGGTAGAGTACCGAGCAGACAAGACTGGAATTGTCCACGTATTGTTTGGAAAGTCCGATTTCTCAGCAGAAGATCTCTTGCTCAATCTAGTGGCTGTTGCGGTAATATTCTCATCTCAACGTGTCTCTTATTCCACTTTTGCTCAAAAACAATTCTTTCGCTTACATGCATTCTTTGTTTACGCAGGTTTAGGAATCTTTTCCTTTATCTTTGTATTTTCGTTGGCTGCAGAATGCAATTCGTAACAACCATTATCTGTCTTATTTCTAAAAACTGTTCCACTATGGGTATCTCTCTAATCGCTACCTCTACATCTTTCAACGTCGCAGAACTCTGTGGACGCAAACAGGCCCTCAGGAGCGAAGGGTGTGTATTGGAAGTCAGCTCACATTTGCACGACCATGGGCCCCTCCATCCGCCTCAACGTGCCTGAGCTGAGGGACCACAAGATCACAGCTACAGACTAATAAATCCCTTGTTTAGTTCACCTCGTACTAGTCGCATTAGGCTCTACATTTATTAGGTGGAGTAAAACTCGTGTACACACACACATACACACACAAAATTTGTGCTTATGACCCTCTGCCTGTGTCCCCCTTAAGATACTAGCAATTCCTGCTATCTTACTTGAACTCGAACCACAATATATAGAGGTAGGATCAGAGGTCGTGTCCTTTTTCGCACCATCGAGCATCGGTCTGGAATGAAATGCAAGGAGTTGGAGGTGGTGCACACCGTGTGGCTTTGCCTGATATTGTTGCACGCCCGCCCATGTTTTATCCAGATTCACGTAGTTATCATTCTCTTGGAATCATGATGCTACTACTCCAATATGCTCCGCTGAGTGTCACTGTACTGATTCGGCCACCGTAAACATTACGCATGGAAACAGTCAATCTTGTTTCTGCAACTCTCGTCCTCGTAGTCTATTCTACCCTTCTCAGAATGGATACCCACGAATCACAGATGCTGCGTTGAGCTGCTGACATTCAAAACTGGGGCCGAAAGTTTGACGTTGATTCTAACACTGACCAAGTTGCCAATGATAACGAGCAGTAAAATGAGATGGGTTGGAGAATAATAATTGAAGAAAGCTTCATTTGTAGCTGTCAAGAATAGGCACATGAGACACTGAAAGAATTCTAAAGACACTCTCGCACACCAATTTGAACCTAGAAGGGGGAAGGAGTCACATTTTCAAAGGGATGAATCTCCAGTCTATTCCCATGTGTCAACTCTCCCTATCGTAGATTGGCCATCACCACATGCAACATTGTCTCTTTTGTTTATTTGATGATGGAATTTTTTACAACAGCAGTTACAACAATAGGCTTGTTTTACTGACCATTCTGGTATTTCCTCCAAAATGACAATGCTATTGGTACAAAGAACTTGCGATAAAATTATTAACTTTTTTTTCTTTTTTTAGCTCTATGCCTACAATTTACTTCTTTTTATTAAAAAAAATCGGGTGTCTGCTTTTTTTTGGAACAAAGTAATCAGTCACTCTCAGGAAACAAACAATCTGGTGACCCATGACCGGGGGTCCAAGGTTCCTCACCGCTATATGAGTCAAGTGGGCCCACGCCCATAGGACCACCCATCCCATAACCGCAAAGAAATGAATTGCGGATCGAAGCGAGGTCTGCTAGCGTTGCTTTGCTTGCTTGCTGCTTGAATCTCCACTTGCACGGCACCATCGTCGCAAGGGCACTTCCATGAACTCTGGCCTGGACCGTGGTCCGACGCAACCCAGTTTCGTGAATCAACTTTTGGGTTTCGCTGGTTTGACTCGGATTCTGAGTGTGGAGCTTACGAAGGCGGTGGATTGTTTCCGGGAGTTGCTGGGTGGTGAGTTCGTTGCGCGGTGGACTGTTGTTGCCCCTTGTTTGTTAAAGCCTCTGAATTGCAATGCCCGATCCATTGATGGCAACCTTTGAAGCTTAGCTGGTTAGCCTCTCGTGCAATAAAGCTTATTGGATAAATCGGAGAGGCATAGGTTTTTCACTTTCGCGAGTTTTGTAGGAAATAGGGGTTCAAGGTTTTATGGTTTATGATTTGAGGTTTGTGCGATGTATAGCGTGTACAGAAATGCGGTGAAAATAGTCACGTAAGCTAAGAGAGCGTTCGCGGCAAGAGGCCATGGCGACCCCGGCAGAAAGCGGTCCCCTAAGCATCGCGATTCCGCAAGCGCAGTTGCCCCAGACGACAGAATCTCGGGGTGAGGGTGGAGCAGCGTCCGTCAGTACAACGCAGCAGAAGATTTCTGAGCTCACCCACAATGTTGGCGAGAGCGTGGACCGTCTGTTAGACGAGTCCCATCGCTTCAAATCAGCGGTGCGCGCTGCCTTCGAACAATTCCAGATGCCACGGCCCGCCAAGGAGCTGCCTGTGAACCAGCTACTTCCAGCCTTGCAGTTCTTCGTGCAGGTGCTGTGAGTTTTTCCAATAATGCTTATCAACGCCGAATTCTTAGCTCTCATTGCATTTTCTGGCAGTGTTCTCTCGGGATTGATTACAGGTGGAGTGGTTATCCAGCCATGGGTTTTGGAATGAGTTGACTCATAAAGATTCTTGCCGAGTAGAACATAATCATGAAGCAAATTTCATTTCAAAATATTGCTGGTAGAGTATATGTATAGCCTACTTCACCGTCATTGTGTTGCTCTTTGAATGTTAACCGACTTTCACGCTTTCGATAAGTCGAAAGAAGTTGCCGTCCGCTTCATGTATTGAGTTGTATTTAGCAAATAACGCAATCGCTTGCTGCTAAGACACCTCAAACCTAGCTGCATCGTGGGAATTGTAAATATTTGGGGTGTAATTGGCAAGGGAAGTATTTAACCATTCCGTTGGTGGTCAGGGTTTAGATGAAAAATTATTTGAGGTATTTATAACGACGGCCCATGCGTTGTCTTAGAAATACGCAGAATTTCAACACAGGTTTAATAACTTTGCATCAGTTCCGCATCTGTAGAATCCACCTAGTTTAGTCGATGAAGAGTAGGTTTTTCCATGAGGGTTTTCGAGGAAGGATCTTATTGGCTGGTTCGATCTCTTTTATCTTGTGGACCTTGATGTTCTAATGCACATCTTCACCCTTCTAGTTTTCAAGTCACTGAGGCTTTCAGAGAGAGAGAGATCGAGCCATCTCTTTTAGTGTTCCACAATCTTGTCTGTTCCATGAATGAAAAGAACACTGTCCATGGCTGAGTATCATTATTTGACGAAGAGATTCTGCCACGTCGATTTCAGTTTTTAATTTGACCTCGCACTGATGTCGTTTGAAAGTTGAAAGACTTAGATACTGGGTCTCTAATGCACGTTCTCTTTCTCCCGCAGAGGCTCTGCGATGACCTCGATGCTAAATGTGGAAAGCTGGTGTTACGACCAATCACTCAGGAGGATATACAGGGCTCGATGAGAAGCAATCCTTCTCTCACCCTCCAACCGCTCCTCACAGCTCAACAGTTTGAAAGCTTTGCTAGGGAGACACTGAAACGGGTGGCCCTCGACCGGGGCAAGCGTCTCGGTTTGTTTATGATCGGTGGCATTTTTGCAGTTCACATGGCAAAGGGTGCAGTGAAGAAGATTCCCATCCTGGGTGGCCCGCTTGGAGCGTTTGCTAATGTCCTATTGCCCACAACTCTGCTAGGGCCTGCTGTGGGGGTTGCAGGCGCTTTGTATTTGTAGCATTTTCTGCAAGTGTGCTCAGAAACACAGGTTTAATTTCTCAATTTGTCGCCTCACTTTGGATTCAAATCCATATATAGATTTGCTATAGTTTAACATTGTTTGAAGAAGCAAGCAAGCTTTTCTGATTCGACCACCGTTAGGAGAGAGTACAGTTAGAAACTGTGTCAAGTTTAATGCTTCAAGTTGTGCATAAAATTGTCTACTGGCGCTCAGGGCTAGAACTTTTTCGTGCTTTTGAGCGGTTTTTTAATCGCAGGGCTGTTCAATCGATTTCTGCCTCGTGCACAACATCTGGGATTCCTGTGACTTCGTGCTTTGTGTAACAGCAGATTCTTTCCTGCGACTCACCTGTATCTGCTTGAGAAGCAACGAAATGTGGCCTTCGTCAGTTTCTTTACCATTGCCAGATTACTGTCGAATAACCACTGATTTTCTAGCGATCACTCTGAATAGCGAAGGTCACAACCTTGATAACACCAACCTCTTAAATATCATTTTTGTAGCTTGATCTAATTATGTGTGTAAGGTTTCCCCACAAGCATAATGCCTACAACCTCGAAATGCACGCTAAATATGCCTTCCTTTCAGAAACTGCCATATTTAAAGCTGCTAATGATTGAAAGGATTTAAACTGCTAGAAGTGTTGCTTTGTCACTTGTTCGAGTGGTGGATGTATTTTTTCAGTTTGTGAGTGATTAGTCTGGGATGGGATCTTCGTTGTGAAAATTGTGGTGCAAATTAAATCTGAGTGCTTTGGAGGTATGGCACCTTTCACTTCCAATACAACTATTGTTATGTAATCTAGTATCGAAGCACACATTTTCTTTGGTACGTGTATGATAACATTGACAATTAGAAGGTGGTTTTACAAAAATGTATTTTTAAATGAAATGCAATTAGAATAAGAAAATGTAAAATGCAGTTACTCTTCTTGAGTTTTAGATAATACATACAATATATGATTTTTTTGAAAGAAATAATTGTGTTAACTTTTGTTTAAAGATTTTAATATTTTGACTTTTATAAAATAATGATATGTTTTTAACAACTAATTATGCTTAACATATGTGTGTATGTTGGATACAATTTGAATCTTAGATGTAGAATTTAAAATTATTTTTTAATGATATAATTAAATATCTTACAAAATCATATCCAAGCCATTGTGACTATTGTTGCTACAACAAAATGCAATCACAAATTATTATCTCTACAACAAAATTCCAACATGTTTATCAAATCAAAAGTAAAGTTTGAACATTGTTACTATCTACTTGGCAAAAGTAGTTTAATCATTTTTTAAGAGAGTAAATTATATGTTTTGCTAGTTGTGGCTAGTAACATCTTTTTTTCCAATTATTAGTCCTATGCATCTAAAAGAAAGAAAGATGTTACCATCCTTTCTTTCTTTTAGATGCATAGGACTAATAATTGGAAAAAAAATATGCAAAAAAAATGTAAAAATGAATATATTAATTATACAACCTTTATAACATTTATTGTCTTTTCTTATTACATCATTTATATGATACTTGGTAGATTTGACAATAATTCAAGTTCAACCTTGATTTTTGAATTTGAATAGCATTTTCTTCTCATGTTTGGAATATCCTATAGCTTTAGCCTCATTCTTTTTATAACTATCTTCATTTATATACATAAAATCAAATGTCCTTACAATATTTGTATACCTTGTTAATTGAGTATATAAATATATTTTTGTACTAGATAGTGAAAAATTATTGAAAAAATTGTATCAATTAAAAAATCAAAAACTAAGTTATTGATGTACATCATGCATACTTCAACCATATATATGACAAGCCATGATATCCATAAGTAAGACTTCAAATGATAGAACTTATAGTATATTATTCACCTAACTAATTTTCTCTATAATCACTTAGATATATTTTTCAGATGGACTGGCAAAAATATTCAATTTCTTAACATCAATTGGAAATGTTCGTAAGTTTTTTTAATTAAAAAAGTAAAATTCAGGTAAAATAGTTGTTAATTCAACAATAATTAAAACAAAAACAACATATTTACCAAAACATGTAGCTATTTTACACTTTATTGAGAGAAAATACTCTCTCTTCTACAACCTCCCTCTCTTTGTTTGTTGCTCTATCTCTTTTCTTTCTTCCTCTACAAATACTTTGGCACATGGTTGAAAAAATCACAAAAACTCATTGAAGGACTAATGTCAATAAATAAGAATATTATTTGAGATTACTTCTACTTGAAATTATTGTTTTAAAGAATAGTTATGATTTTTTTTTAATATTTTTACCTTATAAACATCTTGTGGTATTTTGACTTTTCAAATTTTGATTCTAAAGCTATATAGAGCATAAATTCTCTATGTGATATGGAATTACTCAAAATACATGCATTGATAATTCTAAAAGATTGTTAAGAGAAGTTTCATAATTTTTTTTTGCATTTGATAATTGGTACAAAATAAGAATCCTAAGCAAGGTTCAAAAAAATAATAAGATTTTAGAATTATAATTTTGCATGGTAGTTTAATTTTGAAATATGTAGGAATTAATAATGTTTGTAATTAATCCAGTAATCCAAAAATAAAATTTAATATTAATTAATTATAATTATTTTTTAATTCAATACAAATTCTATTTGGCCAAAAATTATCAAATGAGAAATTGTTACATCTAGGATTTAGGAATTAAGTCATTATGAGAAAACACAAAGTAAATTTGATAATAAGACAATACAAGCTAGTAATTACAAATAAAGTACAAATTATAATATTTGGCCTAAATCAATATAATTTATACATCAAAGTAATTATTTGATGTACTAATATTTCTTCAAAATACAACATCTTTTCAAAATAATATTTTATTATATTATAAAAGAAGAGATGTGAGTCTATCAAATCATGTATTAATAGAATTTTTAATTCAACTCTATAGATTTTTATCTTATAAATCTTCTAACAAGCTATATTCTTTTTATTTTAGAAATCAAAGAATTATTAAGCAAGTCCATTACACTTAGGCTAAGGGACAATATAATATAAATTTTTAACATAGATTAAGACAATCTATCAAATTGTATAAAACTTCAAATTATAAAGACCTAACTTTTTAAAAGACAAGATGATATTAAAATCAAAGATATATTAGAATAAACTCATTATATCTTTTATATTAATCTACACAATTTAAAGGCTTGATAATAGTTTAAAAAAATTTAATATCAATTAACAAAGTTTTAAAATCAGATAGAAAAATTTAAAATTATTTGAATAAAAATAAAATAAAAAACTAAAAAAATAAGTGCTAAAAAGGTATTTTTCAAAAATAAAAGAAAAAAGCCTCACTTACATAGTTTGAAACTAAACCATAGTAAAAAAATAAGATAAATAATAAATATAAGTTTAAACAAACTTGTAATAATTGTAATAAAAATATGTTTTAGTCCAATTACAACATTGGAACGTCAAAAGAACATTGAAGATATATTAAAAAAATAATTTTTTTTTTGACTAACAAATAAATGTCTTGTAAATCCAACTATTATATTTTGAAGAATTTTATTTAGTTTTCAAACAAATGACAATAAAAAGAATACAAAGGCTAGATGAAGTATTCTTTAATAAAATTATTAAAAAATTACTAAAGAAGGATAATTTAACTATTATTAATAACATCTAATATATATATATATATATATATATATATATATATATATATATATATATATATATAAACATCTAATGTATATAAAATTTGGTCAAACAAAATATTGTACTTCTTGACATAAGATAGAATAGAATAAGTTTTGGTAATTAGAAGCCAATTGAATTACTTGATATTTCTTATGAGATATATATCAAGATATAATAAAAATTTATATAAGTTCTTGTAGAAGTTATATATTTTAATAAAATAACTTTCTTCTTTTTTTCTTTAACTTAGATAATATACTAATAGCTCAAGAAAAAAATAGAATTAAATAAATATTAAATCAACTCATATATTTATTGAATTAATCCATCATTAATAAAATATAATATCTAACTCTACAAAATCTACTCTATTTCGCTCTTAGATCTACTATGCTCCTAAATCTATTATATAGTATATATTGAACATTAAGTTCATGTTTGAGGATTATGTCTTTACAATTGATACATCTTATATTTCTTAGATTAGTAAGATCTAATATTATTAGAGATTAGTGATGAAGCTTTTATTGTTTTGATTTGAAGCAAATCAAATAATAACTTGGCTCGGCCATTGTTGCTCTAAGGCCCTTCTTCATTAGTTCTTGCTTCTTTATAATAGAAGATTTGTTTTTTTTTAGCATAAGTGACATTTTTATTAATTTAATTAAGCAAATTTGGACATCATCTTATTGATGAGGCACCAATATGTTGTACATATTGTTTGCAGCACCAATAAGGGGTTATAGTATCTATAATGCCATTGTATAAACTTCTTGAGCATCTTGCAAAATGATTTCTATATAGAAATCTTTACCTTACTCATCTTATTTTCTACAAAATGGCATCACATTTCAACAACCATATAGTTTTTATGATATCTTAAAGTAGATATAAATTAGCTATTTCTAAGAATAAATTTATCCAATTCTTTGCCTTGATTATGTGCACATAAGAAAATACCATTCTTTGAGTAAAGATCCTAAAACATGGACTATCTGTTTTACCCACCCTAAAAAATTATTTGTATACTTCCTTAAGTACAAATGCAAAGACCTTCTAAATCATATTCTTATAGAATAGCCAATTATGTTTATAATAAACTTATATGTACTTCTTTGCAACTTGAGTTGTATTTTTATTGGCCCAATTTACAAATGCTTGTAATAAATTAACTTGAATCTAAAGAAAAACTTGGATTAAACTTTGTAATTAACTCATCAATATAGAATGAGTTTTTTCTATATGCAATGAACTTACATTTCCAAAGTAAAAAATATCTGTTTGTCTATGCAACAATAAAATGTTCCTTATGATCTTTTATCCAAGTGTTATGAATGTCATTAAGAAATGTTGGCACAACCTAATACTTACATTTCAAATTGCTCAAATATATTTAAAACAATTATATAGTGCTAGAGTGGATAACACTTTGTCAAATTTGTTAGAGTATCTTCCAATCTTCTTTGGTACCAAAGTATTTTTTTATAAATTTTTAGCACATTTTTATTGATATATCAAAGATAAAGCAAACGTTGCAAGCTAGAAAAAAATCTTATAAGAATATGGATCAAATCAAGCTTGCAATTGGTTCTTATTGTTATTATTTTCTAGCAAGAAAAAATCTTAGCTAAGTGTTCTAAAGCTTATGTAATATATGATTTTCTTTTCTTACACAAAAAAACTACTGCAATAATAATTATTATTTTGAAGCTTCTTATGCCAACAATGTAAACCACTTACATCTTAAATTTGTTTATCTTTTCTATATAATCAATTATAAGACTATACATATATTTTTCTACTGACTTGATACAACATTGGTGTCTTTAAAATAGATGTACTATCTTATTAAAAATATTGTATCAACAATTAAAAAAATATCTATCTTTGTAGAAGATACGTGTGAGAAAAAAAAAAAAAAAAAATGATTATACAATTTAGGTTTACAAGGACACACTTGTTTGTTATAGATTGTATAAGTAATTGTTTGCAAACTGGTATTTTCTATTTGCAAGATAGTCAATCTATTTTGTAGAGATATTCATGCATTGAGCATGTATACAAAAAATATAAGCTTAATAGCTTGATGCTAGCAATCAATTATATTAGCAATAATATTTTTTTACATATGATTAAATTTTCTATTGTAAATTAAAATATGCCATCAATTATTAATCTTCAATAATTTTTATTAGAACTCAAATAGATAATTAATTAAGTATGCAGTTGTATTTCAAAAGCATGTCATTTTTATTAGGTCTATTTTGACAATCATATCATCTACTACAATGATATTTTAGTTGGTATAGTACCATTTGAGCATCTCTTTATGAGTGCATTCCCTTATATATTTGCAAAGTGATTAATTGCTATAATAAGCTACTCCAATAATTCATAAGATTGCTAACTAATATTATTAGACTAGATCTTATAATTTTTTAGTTGGAATCCAATACTTGTAAGACTAGAATTTTAAATTTTCTAATTTTAATCTGATTTTTGTAATTGTATAAAAATAATATATTATATTCTTATCAATAATATTTCAAGGACATAAATCACAAAAAATCAAAGGATCAATTCACTCGTGTGTTACTAGAAAAGAATAAATAATCATTTAAAAATGATATAATATTAAGAGTAGAATAGCTATTGCAAAAGATAAGAAGACTAAAAATTCTTGAAACAATTCTAAGAACAAAAAAAACGTTAATAAGAGTGAAAAAGGCTTAATTCTTGCTTCCAAATAAACTATCTAACTAGAAGCTATGTGGTGACATTTTATACCATATTTAACACATGTCTAGCTTGCAAGATATGTTTCCTACATATATACCACATAGCCAACTTGTATCATAAGTTACGAACATGTGCAACATGTAGCCAACTTGTTGGTCAAGTTTTCAATTGACCAATCACCTTCAAAGATGTATTAATTCAAATTCACATCTATGAAATGTCTAAGAAGCTATTCCACAAGATATTATCAAATTTACTTATTTTTTATTACTTCCATCTAACTCTTTTAATTTGAGTAAATATGTATGTCCGTGACACAATCTTTGTTCTTGTAAAGCAACTCAAATTAAGAGTATGGAGCACACAATCAAAATTACAATCAAAATTACAATGTACTATACCAAATTTTAAATTGATTAAAACATTGTAAGGTAACAATTGGATTTTAGATTAATTAAAAAACTCAAAAACTACTTGAAAATATAAAAAAAATCACCTATAATAAAATATATATATATATATATATATATATATATATATATATAATATCAAAGCTTTGTATGATAATTAGTCAAGATAATAAGTATTAAAATAATATAGCTAATTTAATTAAATAACATCAATCTAATGTAGATGATCAATTGGCAATTAAAAATATTTATAAAATTAAACAAGAACCAAATTAGAATTTGGAATGCAATGAATTTAAAAAATAGTAAAGTACAAAATAAACATGCATCAAAAAAAGAAGCAAGGAAATTATTATTTTACACTCCAAGTTCCAATGTTCAATCCACTTAAGCAACATTAGTATCCAATAGTGTTACTTATAGCCTAAAAACTTGGATTAGATCACAATAGTGGCAATAATATTAAACAAAAGGCAACAAAGAGAGTATGACATGAACATTGAAGAATCTAATAATTTAGTTCTAATCTACAAAGAAATTTATTTAATTTTGATCTACATGACAATTCAATTTCAATCTATTCTATGCAACAAGTTGATTTTTTTAATCTACACAAGTTGTTTAGTTTTGATCTACACAAAAAATTATTTAATTTAAACTTGTCTCATGTTTTATATTGATGGTTGTGCTAGACTATTTCTTACTTTCTTCAACAAATCAATCATAATCCTCTTTAACATTGGTGCAAATCATAGCTTTCTCTCTTGAATGGTTACCTTCCTCAAAGTTCTTAAGTTCTATATTGACATTAAGACAAATGGCTGCTATTCATAGCAAGTATGGTAGCAAAGCTCTAAGTAGTGTAAGAGTAGAAGAGAGTAGTGGTAGATAGGGTAGCAAAGTCTTACTTATTACCAAAGTTAAGAAAAATATATTTAAAAGTAGATACAATAGATTTGAGAGCAAAGAAAAATAGATCTAAGATTAGATTAGAGCAAAGTAGATTTGAAAGCAAAAAAAAATGGATCTAATGGATGTAAAAATTGCATCTTATTGATAATGAATCAATTAAAAAAAAAAATATGATTTGATTTGATATTCTCTTAGAATTATTGCTATAAATATGCAAACAACTCAATTTCAACTATTTATAAGAAGAAAAATTAGTTTTTAGAAGTGTGAAGATATTTTAATAATTTAATGTGGCTTTACAACTTAAAATCAATTGATAAAAATCTTCAACTTGTTAAAAATACAAAAAATCCTCTAAATTATTTTTAATTAGAATAAATCATATATGACTAAAAAAATTATAGAAGTTAGAAAAGAGATAAAATATTTTTAGAATAATAAAATTTCAAAAATCATTAAGATTATACATGAGATGAACTAGTCACAATAATATTTTTAATTATGAATAGAAAATTTATAGCTTTTTTGTCTATCCTTTTTAAATACATCTTTCTTATAAACACAAACTAATCTTACCATTAAATATATTCTATGTATATCAAAAAAAACAAATCATCCAAGAATATTCTATTTCTTGGATGTTATATCATTGATTGAGTTGGGCATGATCACCTCACATTTGTAATTAAGACATTATTATTTGATATTTATGTTATGTATTTGTTAAGCTAATATATGGTTGGATAATGTTAATATAACCTAGTTGATATTGTAACTAAGTATTATTAAAAAAAACATTTGAAAACATTTTGTTATTTTGTTAATACTTTGTTTTTTGAGACCCTTTAGAAATATTGTAGCAATATTTTGGAGAGGAAGCTACCTTTGCTTTAGAATTGGTGATGTAGAGTCATTCAAAAACGAAGTTTTTTCCTCTTTGGTGAAAGGACTTGTCCTATCTTCTGTTGCTGCTGGTTGTTCACGAGATTCTGTTGAATGTGTGCAAATCACTCTTCGCCATTGCTTGCTACTTAAAGACCAAAGGATAGCTCTTTATCCAGTACTATCCAATCTAGTAAGGCCAATTGTACAGTGGGGTACAGAAATAATTCGAATTTTTTTCTAGAGCACCACTTTTGCTGAAAAAATCTTGTTGTTCAATTGAATGCTATGATCATGTTGGAAGGAATCTTTCCCCGATACTTAGCCATCTATTTTTGGAGTGCAAGAGGTGTCTAATTACATGTAATTAGCCATGTGTCTTCAAAATCAGATTGCAAATGTGATGATTAATGTGGAAGTGGTTAGGTGAGCTAAAAAATCACAGTTACAATTAGGCATGCATGCAGCCAGCAAAATGGAGTGATAGCATAGAATGCTTGGATGGGGTGACTTATATAATCTATCTGAAGATGTGAAGCACATTGCACTGCCACAGATTGAGATTGTGAAGCACATACAGATTTTAGAAGTGTTCTTTTTTGGTTTTGGACATCGTTAGCTTCACTGACTCCTCTCTGTTAAACTAGAAGTTGGTTTGTGTTGTTTGAAGGCTTATAGCAAGCACCATGAAGTACAGAACATTGTCCCCTATACAGAAGAATCAGATTGTGGGGATGAGGAAGGCTGGGATGAAGTGTAAGGACATTGCAGAAGTCTTCACTGCTCCCTATTCCACCATTTCAACTATCTTGAGTCATTGGAAGGTCCATGGAAGTATGGAGTCGTTGAAATCACAATGTGGCAGACCCAGGAAGTTGTCTGAGCGGGATTTTCGAGTGTTATGTCGTGTTGTCAGTTCAAATAGAAGGCATACTCTGGTAGAACTTGCAAACTTGGTGAGAGTTTCCCGAACTACTGTTCGACTCTACCTCCGTGAGCTTGGTTTTAGAAATTGTATAGCACCTAAAAAGCCCTATTTGAATGTCAAATATAAAGCAGATAGGCTTGCATTTGCACGTGCTTATGAGAGTTGGACGTTTGAAGATTGGTGTAATATTATTTGGATGGATGAGTCGTCATTCGAAACTGGCAAAAATCCACGGCAAATTAGAGTGTGGCGGAAGGCGTACGAAAAATATAATTGGGATTATATAGCACCAAGTTTTAAGTCTGGGCGTAGTTCAGTGATGGTTTGGGGTGACTTTACTGGCTTTGATAAGTCTCCATTGGTCACCATTCCTTCAAATAAGAGATCATCAAGTGATTTTGTCACTATTGTTTATGAAGGAGTATTAATTGGCTTTTATTTCTTACATGATGACCCTGAGCAATTGATATTGATGGAGGATGGTGCTCCAGTCCACCGTAACTCATTGCCAGTGCAATGGAGACGTGCTTATGGTATAGAAAAGTTGTTTTGGCCTGCCAATTCACCGGACTTGAATCTAATAGAGAACGTTTGGATGGTTGTAAAAGATTTGCTCAAACATCATAGTAGACCTAATAGTAAGCTAGAAATGATAGAAAAAATTCAATCCGTATGGGATACCATATCTATAGAGTGGCTTCGTACATTGATTTCGACTATGCCTTACAGGATGCAAGCGGTGATTGCAACTGGGGGTGGTAGTACGAGATGGTAGATAGTATGTAACAAAAAGCTCTCTTGATGTATATTTTCACAATTTTATAATGAAAAATTGTTACACCATGAAACTAGATTCTACTATCTTCGCAATGCACTTTACGGCTCAAAAATGCGTTCATTTTTGAAACTGCTGGAGCTTTTTGAAGTTCAGTGATTTCTAACACTGATTCACTTTGGAAAAAAATTCGAATTATTTCTGTACCCCACTGTAGATCAGGATTTTGAAGCCAATGTGATTTGAATTGAAGAAAGTGTGGCTGCATTGGTGGCAGTTGATAATCGGGTGGTTACTCATCCAAGTGCAATGTTGCAAGGTTCACATGGAATGAGGTCCTCCTATGGTACTTCACATGGTTCATATTTGTTGTCCAGAAATGCACACCGTTTGAACTTTATGGTGTACGTTTGTTTCGACTTTACTGCATCATGTAGTGTATTGAGTATAGGTTATTACACATACAAACTACTATCAAACTCAAACAAGGATCTAATTTGCATTTCTATAGGCAACAATCTTTTTCATGTTCCTTAACTTTGCTACATGCTTTAAAATGCCTTCTCTTGTTGACTTGGTTGTAAAGGCAATCCGCTTGACAGAAGTGAAAGCACCAAGCGGCGTGTGTGAACACATGATACAATATTCCATGCAAAACTTCAGATAGTTATCGTACGCAAATTAACAAGTCGTGTAGAGAAATGTATTTGGTGTTCAATGCAAAATTGGTACCTCAAGATATTCAGAGCAGAAAAGGTTTCGGCATTCAGAGATTGGATGAACTAATTCAATGCTACACTGATCCCAATGTCAGGAGAGTAGTCTAAGCATTTACATTCACTTTCAACGCTTCAATAATGGCTGAGAAATCTTCGTCGCCGAGCCCATTCGATTTGGCTTGTGCGTACAAGTCATTGACAGCAGCCGCAATGGGTGTGGGCTGGCCAACCTTGTCCGCCAATTCTACTGCGAGGCGTAAATCCTACAACAAAGACACAACTATCAGTTTTATTGCAGTGCTACAGATGAATGCAAGCAGAACTCATCACAGGCATTCAAATCATACTTCACTAAAAACATAACTTTAGTGTGAAACCGTAACTAAGGATTGAAATCAAAGTAAGAGTACGGGTTAAGAAACTTAGAACGAATGAAAATGAGAATCAATACATCCTTCATGACGTATTTATGTAGGCTATAAGCCAGGGGACATACCTTTTGTTGGTGCTTAAGAGGGAAAGCTGTTGGATATTGACCCTCCACCATCGATGGGCCTTTCATCGCAAACATGGGCGCACTAATGGCACCTTGTCCTATGACCTTCATCAGCAGAACAATAAACATAATACAAAATTTGAGAAAATCAACATGAAAAGCTTGCTTTGATTGTGTTAAGAAATGAATACGCCAAGTATGCTGCAGAAAATATAGATCTCATTTCAGAATGTTTTCAACTACAACAAACGATTGAACTTTCAAACTGTAGAATCGGATTATCGTCTCCACTGCACCTTACTCAACGGACTTTTAGATATCATGCAACTGCGACTCGATAAGACCAAGCTAAATACAAATAGAATTAAACAACAAGTAGAGGTAATAAACTGGGAATAGATGTACAAGATATATTTTTGTACCTCAATAATAGTTTTGGGGTCGAGTCCAGTTTTGGCTCCCAATAGCAAGCCTTCTGAAAAAGACGCCATCATACTGCAGGGAAGGACAAAGCGTGAAGGAGAAATCCTTAACAAAAAAGTGAGCACTTCTTACGACAGTCTAAAAACGCGATAATCAAGTGGAGAATTCGAGTTTTGAAGATTAAACACACACACAGTATGGGTGACAGCTAGTAATAAACATGCAGGAGACCAATCACTGAACCTTGACCGGTGTCTGCCACAAAGTTACATTCAACTTGGTGCTTTTTTGTGCAGGACGGTTGCGAAAATTTGGAGCCTCGTTGAAACATTTCGACACATTCATAGTTGCAAAACAAAAGAAGACTCGACTGTACTCGTTGCATTTGAGTTCCTGCAGCTTGGCAATCTGACCTGCCCATAACCATGTTCACCACGAGCTTCATAGCCGCACCATTGCCTACTTCTCCGAGGTAGAATTTGGACTGCAAAAACACCAGAATAAGAGCTGGTTACCATAAGCGCATTTAAAGTACACAGCAATCTCATTCCATTCAGAGATGCAGACTTCATGTTCGGAGAATGAAATTAGAGCTGCATACCTTGCCCATGACATCCAGCATCGGAGATGCTCTCTCAAACAAAGGCTTGTCTCCTGCAGATCCAAAATAAACATTTGAAGGGAGAGAATTAAATTGAATGAACCTGACAGTAAATTTTGCTCTGCCTAAGAGAACGACTAGCATATTAAGCACACTGCATTGTGACAGAAGAATCAAATCAACCCTCAACACCGAAGATCGTTTGCGGCTCATTGCACTTCCTATGCAATGCTTTTGACTGTAGCCAAGATAAATTTATATTCAAAATTTGAAGCGGATAATGAAATAGATATAGAAGTTACTTTTTCCTACGTACATAGATGAGCTTATTTCCTACTATAGTGGAAAATGACAGGCGTAAAAAAGCACCTGCTGTAAGAAAAATAAGAGTGCCATCTACAGCCGGCTTCTTTGAACCTGAAACAGGAGCCTGCACTCATTTGCCAACACGCAAAGTGAATACTAGGAACTGGTACAAACTTACAAATCAACGGAAGGTACATAGAAGTTTACAGCGACTACTTTGAAGAGAAAATGCACTGCTTTTATAAGTACAACACCCTTGGGAAGAAGCTTGGGAAAAAGAAGACTAAAACAAACAAGTGAAACCTCACCTCAAGGAACTCAGCCCCGGTCTTCCGAACAGCTTCGGCTATTGCCTTCGATGTTTCATCATCGACAGTAGACACATCCACGTACCTAAACACGACCCCAGAAAAAATGCTACTTAAGGTTAAATTTGCAGATATGATAACTAAAAATTTGCAGAACTACTACTATCCGCGCTTCCAATGCAAAGAATTGATCGCTTCTCAATAGCCAGCTGAAACCGGACAGTAATTTGAAGTGCAAAATCTACAAGATTTTCATGAAGGTGTAAAGCACAAACCTACAGCCTTCAAGAAATTTGCTATATAAGGAAATATAGAGGATGAGCTTACCCTTTACCAGCACTCAAGCCCTTGACAGCACCCTGAGGACCGCATGCAACTTCCATCTGCAGGTTCCAACATACTGCCAAATTTAATTCGACTCCGGTATTTTCTAGAAGGCATCCATTGAATCGGAATTTGAAGCTATTACAAAGCATGAACCAAAGTTTTGCCTGCCCTATCAACTATTACTAGAGGAGAAAAGTGCATTGATGGAGAACATGACACATATAACAAGCATGAACTCCCATGTAAATTTGGCAAGCAGAAGGTATAGAACGAAACTGCTCCAGCTGGATCTGCCAACATAGCGAAAGTAACATCACAAGCTGCAGCTGTCTGCTCAGGTGATTCTCCGCGCCTGCTCATCGGGGGTTTAACATTTCAACTATCTTTCTCACTAAGACCGTGAGCTCAAGGACGCACTTCTAGAATACCATCAGGACAGAATCTGATCATGAGCTTGTAGCAATTTTAGAGTGTGTTTTAAGAAGGTTACGTGTTAATGCCAGGAAGCGACAAAGTAGAATTAACAGTGAATTTGATAGATAATCTGGTAGATATTGAAGTATGTGATCAAGGTGGATGACGAAAGCAGTAAAGAGATTTATGTGCTCCTCGAAAACTTACTTGGCCCCTTCACTGATAAGCGGATCACACTTGCTGGTGGATCTGTTCCACACAGTGACGTCGTACCTGGCAGCAGTGCATATTACTTCTAGGTGATCAGGCCATACGAAGGAAGAAACGAGAACTAGTTCCCACAACATCAACGCGATGTAGGGGCTCATAACACAGGGTAATTTAGGGAGTAGAAAATGAGTCGTTGCGACGAGACCGTAGAGTGTCGGTAGCTGTGACATACAGATGATCTGCACTGCGTCCGAAAGCTGTTATCAATTTCACTTGAAGGTTTATGCACTACTACACACATTGATTACGCTATAAGGCGATTCATGACTATTGCAGTTGGCATGAAGGTATACCGATTCTAGAAGGAATCAGAATCGACGTGTAGAATATAGCGTATGCACTACTAACTCAAGTAAGCCTTTAAATTACTCATCTTCGCACGGCAAAGTAGCTCCATTGGTGCTCACACGGGAATTGCAAACCGAGGATTGACAAATAATTGAGGCGGTGCTCTGACGAATCAAGAATCAAAAGAAAAATACAACAGCAAGGCCAGTGAAATTGAAACAATGAGAAAGGAAGTTATCCAAAGAAGAGACTAACACACCCTGCCATAATGAGGTTCCTCGCCATGGCAGTTCCCATAATGCCCAGTCCTAAAAAGCCAACGCTGGGCTGCTTCTCGTCACCTGCCCACTCCCAACCACCACCACAACCACCACGAATTCATCCCCCACTCAGGCACGCAAACTTCACAGCGCTAGAACATGCACACCACGATTCGCTGCAGCAAACGAACATTAGGAAAGGAATCGCAGACCTGTACTGGAAGAAGCACTCACGACGAATGCTCTCCGCGTCCATGGCGAGGAACCACCACCATTGCCACTACTACTGCACCCCTGATACGACCTGATCCGTACTCCACGAGCGCGCAACGTGGAGAGAGGCGCGACGCAACCCTGGAAGAAAACGCTCTCGGCAAACGACACCGACGAGCGAGAAAACATAGAATTGAGCATGGGCAGCGGCCTGTGCGCCATGACCATCCCCTTGGCCATCACCACCGCCTTCATCTTCACAGCGTCAAGCTATTGTCCCTCACTCACTATGCTTCTCTCCCAGCCTGCAACAACACAGCGCTTGTAGCGTTGAAGGAAGACACAATGCCACGGAGCAACGGCGCTGGTGCTGGCGATGAGATACGATAAGCGGGGTCGCATCGGAACGGCAGCGAAGAGGATTTATCGGCACACAACGAGCGATGAAGATTACGCCTCTGCCTTCCACGAGCACCAGCCCCCCGCAAGGTGCTTCAGCGCTGCAACAGCGCATATGAAGGTCTCCCTTGTAGGAACATCCCCCTACTTCCAATTAGGTTAATAACAGCTTAAATAGACCCATCTTTGATGGAGAATATGATGATAATGATGAACGTGGTTAATTTTTATTGGTTTCAGATCCGATAGTGGAGAAATGAATATAGAAGTCATTTTTTTTTTTTTCATGATGGTTAGAACAGGTGGGTTGATTTAGTAAAAACTTGGGTCTATTTAATGTTCCCCTGATTAATCATTTCTAGTGTATTATTATTACATGTGTTTGTGTGGTTATGAGGTTTTATTACAACATCTTTTCTAAACTTCTTTTTTCAAAAAAAGAGTTGTGGGTTGATTTGCTTTGTGATATTTGTACTTTTAGTGTTGGGATTTGGATTGTTGAAAAGGTTGTGGAGGTATTTACTCATGGTTTTAATGCTATTTTCGGAATGTGGTTGGATTGATGTCCGTAGTGTTGTTTTGTTTTTGCTGAACAATTTTGTTTAGTAAAACTTGTTTATTGTGTTGGAAATTGAAGAGATTTGAAATGATTGTTTACATTGAATTAGATTAAGTAGGATTGTGGTAAGAAAGATGAGAGGCTAGTTAATGTTAGACTAAACAAAATTATTTATTATTTAATAAACTATAGAGGCTTCTTATTTGACTAAATGGAAAAAAATATTGTTTGATTAAATGTAGAGGTTTTTTATTAGACCAAATCTAATATCATATCAATGATCATTTTATCATATTAAATGCATTGTAATTTTTTATTAAATACAATATAATTTTTAATAATAGAAAATGACATGTATATACATATTAACATAGAATTTAAAATAAAAAGGTTTTTTATTCAATAAATAAATAAATAATTTAATTTGTATGAGTGCACTAAACAAATGATAAAATGTATTGTAAGCATTGCATGCATTCTTTTCTATTTTTAAGTATGACTTTGGAAAGTTATGGACTCTTCACTTTGGTTTATTGTGTATGTTTTTGGATTTAGTATTTATGTACTTGATTTCAATGATTAGCCATAACAAAAAAATAAAATAAATGATGATACAAGAGTAATGATTTATTTTTACTAGTATTCTATTAATACTTTTAAGATTAAATGTTAAATGCTGCAAAATATCATGATGATTAAAAGCTCGTAATTTAGCTACTGTAACTATTCCATCTCTTTAGTTGTTGTGCATATTACAATTGTAATAGAAAATTAGGTTAACCAATACAATATTCAATATGTAAATTGACTAAAATCTTAGATTACGATTCTACTAAGCACACATGGAACAATATCAATTATGAAATAAAATAAAAAAAACTTAATAATAAAAGAACATGTGTACAACAAGGTTGGATAGTCGTGTGCTGATATTATTAACCCAGTATTTGAAAATAACATATATACAAAAGAATATTCTGTGAATCACTTCTGCATTTGCTTAGTTCATGTTTTCAATGCCTTCATTACTTTATGTCTTAAAAAAAAAAAATTAGGTGAGGGCTGCTGGTGAACATAGGGAAAAGGATTTAGCACTCCTTTTATCCTGGTCCAATTGTTGCTTGCAAAACACTGGAGTCTTCGTTGTCCCTACTAGGTAGCCGTACTCAAGTAAACAGCAAAAGCAAAGAAAAGAAAAGAAAAGAAAAGATACATAATCATGCGTGACTAGGCAAATGAGTGTATCCAGATTCACTGCAACATTATTTGAACGTCGAAAAGCTTCTAAATATTTCACACAAATTGACCTTCATCTCAACAACTATCTTATCGCATGGCTTCACCAAACAGAGGACAAAATGCAATATCTACAGGGCTGGAATACATCCAATGGCAGCAGTACTCTACTCGTACCAGGGTTTCTTGGGTGGCTCTACACGGACTTCCTCCTGGCTGTAACCCGGCCTAGAACCCGCACCATATCCTGCAAAATCGAGCATGAAACAATCTAAACCATCAAAATCTGATTACACTAATATTAATCACAGTGTAATGGATCACATTGTGGTAAGACCGACTTGAAGCCAACCACTAAAACACTCTAAACGCATCTAAACTAGCTGTTAAGCATGGTACAATTGCACCCTTCGAAAGACGTATTCACTTGAAAAACTGACGTCAGCGAAGCATCAACCACAAGGGATATAAAGGAAGAGTAAAAAAGAGTCAATATAATGATACTGAACGATAATGCACAATTAGCAATAAAGCAGCTGCACTTTTGTAAGATCCATAAGCACCTTCGAATTTTGAAGAATGGTCTCGATATGGCCCTGTTGTCTCTTCTTCGTATTTGGAGGGACGAGGCTTCTGTGGCCGTTCATACTCTTCTTCTTCATACTTCGAGGGTCGAGGCTTCTGAGGGCGTCCATATTCCTCTTCTTCGTGCATTGAGGGACGAGGTTTTTGAGGGCGCCCATATTCTTCCTCTTCTTCGTACTTTGAGGGTCGAGGTTTCTGAGGGCGTCCATATTCCTCCTCTTCTTCGTACTTTGAGGGTCGAGGTTTCTGAGGGCGTCCATATTCCTCCTCTTCTTCGTACTTTGAGGGTCGAGGTTTCTGAGGGCGTCCATATTCCTCTTCTTCTTCGTACTTTGAGGGTCGAGGCTTCTGAGGGCGTCCATATTCCTCCTCTTCTTCGTACTTAGAGGGTCGCGGCCTCTGTGGCCGTCCATATTCTTCTTCCTCTTCATATTTCGAAGGTCGAGGTTTTTGAGGGCGTTCATACTCTTCTTCATCGTACTTCGAGGGGCGCGGTTTGGAAGGTCGAGACTCTGATTCTTCAGAACCATACTTCGAAGGCCGGGGTTTAGGAGAACTCTCGTCGTCATTCAGCCGACCTACATGACAAGCACCACAACACCATAAGTTGACTAGAATACGTTACAAGGATGCAGCCAAAGCAGACTTCGACATAACACAGCACAGCCACCAATTTAGACATCTGGAGCTCATATATTATGCCAGATTTGATATCTTCACATTAGATTCCTATAAATGGCTTGAGAGGGAACAACCTATAGAAATATTAAACAAAATGTTAATCTTGATACCTACCACCAGATGGCTTAACCTCGTGCTTCTGCCCATATTGGTCAAGGTAGGTGCTGGCCTTCTTCAAATAATCGCTATAACCAGACTTTTCTCCCCCGTACATTGATAATCCATCGAGCAAGTCGGATGCCGCCTCTGATACCAGAAATGTCAGACTTAGCAGTGATTCAAATGAAATCATCCTTCATGTTGTTAGAGATATCCACCTGCGCTAGCCTCACGCATTTCCCATAGCTCAAAAAATTACTATGAAAACATTAGTACCTGCAAGCTTGCCATGCTCCACTTTCTTTCCAGCAGCTGCTTGATACAGAACCTGCATGAAAGAGGAGGATGAGCATATGATGCCACATGAAAGAAATGCATGATAAAGGCACCTCACAAAGAATCGTTCCAGAGCACGCTAGCAGGCGTCTACGATTCTCAAGAAAACAGCTTCAATTTGAAATTCATACGAGAGCTTCAAAAGAGGAGATTCCATGCAAGACAGCGACTAACCTGGGCACTGCTAAAAAGCTCGCCCGTTGAAGGCTTCTTCCTATGATCTGAACTTGAGGACTGACCCTTCTGGGGTTTCTCATCATCATATTTACTACCATGAGGTCTTTCATCATCGTACTCGTCCTCATCTCGCCTGGGCTTCGGCTTCGGCTTCGGCTTGTTCGGTCTTTCATCATCGTAATCATCCTCATTTCGCTTCGGCTTATCAGACCCGCCCATGAACCCACCAATTAAGTCGCCAAACCCTCCAGAGCCCTCGCCTTCCTTCTTATCCTTTTTATCATTCTTCTTCCCGCCCTGCACTTCTTGAGCAATCTTCGCGGCGTTCATTAAGAAATCCATCTTCAATACCTATCCAAAATCACCGAAAGAACACGATCAGACAATAACACAACAAAATCCACTCCAACCGAGGCAAAACAAAATCAAAACCCAAATAGCTATATCAACCACGGAAAAAAGCCAGAAACAAGTGCCTCCGGTACGGATCGCACGAACCCCTCGACAAAACTGGCACTGCGCAACTGCAACGTCGACAACCCTTGCTCACAAACTCGGACAGTAACTCACCCCAACGCAAAAGCGAACTCCTGCAAGACGTGGACGTTTCTAGAACGCAAAAAAAGCTGCCGCGCCAAGAGTTTTTTAAGAGGCGACAACCAAAGAAATTGGAAGAAGAGTAGGAGGAACAGCAGCTGCTACTGCTCCTGGCAGACGGCGATGAGAGGGGAGTGTGGATTCGGGCAACAGGATTCCAAATTGTGGAGCACGAGGGATCCGCAGCCTAACACAGCGCACGCGGAATCGGAACTCACCGCAAGTTGCTCCCCTCGTCACCACCCAACGCTCGTCACCACCCAACACTCGTCATTGCAACACAACACCAGCAGAGCCAAACGTGTCGTACCACATCTCCCACTCCTCCTCCCTTGCTCTTTCCCTGCTTGCTCGTTTGGATTGTGGTTGTAAACTCTTCTTTTTAGTATCAAATTTATGTAGTCTAATTTACTTTACTGTGAAGCATCTTTAATTTGAAAAAGAATTGATATCATATGTAACGTTGCATCACTTTGAGCTACTATTTAATTCTAAAAACATCCAATAAAACAATATTACTTAAACACAAACATGAAAACAATCTAAAAACAATCTCCACACAAGGTCATGGGACAAAACAAACATGAAAACAATCTAAAAACAATCTCCACAAGGTCCTGGGACAAAACAAGATAGTATTAGATTCTCATCCTCGAAACAATGATGCCACAACTTGAAGTTGCACTGTTTATTGTGATGCATTGCAACTTTGTGTTGGAATGCATTGTGACTTAGGATCACATCGCACTGCAACTCCATTCTTGATTTACCATAGCTTGAGGATTTTGTCCTGGTTTGCATTGCAATGCCACCCATGAATGTCAATATTTAGGAGTCACTTTAAATATTGCCCTTTATTCTCGAATTGACTTTTAACTTTCTAACTAAGTCTAAATTGCAATTGAGACTCTAAAGGGAAGATGAATCACAAGCTCTTTCTTTTAGGTACCTAGGACTCACTCTAGATTACTATCAATTTTGTACCTTACATTGTGTCCCTTGTATAAGAATAACCTTGGAATGAAGAAGGTGACCCTTCCAACCACTCCTTTGCTACCTTGGAGTGGCATTTTCTTTGATATCAAGAATGCCTTGGCTCAACTTATCTTTTTTTTACTTTCCCACGGATTTCTTTAAATAACCAAGTGAGTGGGTCAACTTTTTTGATCCTTATAATATAGCACACAAAGAATTAGAACTCACCGTAAGGCAATACAATACCAATAGAGCCAAGCTTGTCATACCATGTTTCATATTCTTCTCTTTCTTCCTTAATCTTTTCTTACTTACTTGTTTGAATTGTGATTGTAAATTCTTTTATTTTGTATCAAATTAATAGAAAATAATTTACTTTAGTGTGAAGTATCTTTAATTTAAGAAGTTGCAACCCTTTTATAAAATTTTGACATTTATTCTCAAATCTCTCTATGAGTCCATTACAAACTTCAATCCAAATGATTTTTTTTGTATAGTTAGGATTGACTTTGGTTTCTCTATTAAACCAATTAAAAGTACTTCCTTAAAGTAAAGAAGACAAGGTCCTAATCTTTTCCATATTATTCCTTATGTCATTGGCCAAATGTCAATGCTCCACCTCTTTGAAAAATCTTCCTATAATTTCCTTGTATTCTATATCCTTTTATTTATTTTAGAATGATCAGTTTTGGATCTATGAAAACTTGACTTGTCCTTTTGGCTTTCAATTAAAACTTCTTTCTTCATATTTTTCTTTATCAAAGAGTCTATTAAGAGTTGGTTCATTTCCATCTTCTTCTCAAATTCTTTGTTTTTTTCTTCTATGAGCTTCTTTACCATTTTTTCAACTTTATCAAATAAAAAAATAATTTTTTTTTCCACTCTTGATTCCTCAATTGAATCGTTAGAAGTTTTGAAAGTAACTTGCTTTTGTGACCTTGGATTCTTTCCATTTTTTTAACTTTTTTCATCTTCACTTTGAAGATCTAGAGTTTCTTTCAAACTCTCCATTTGTTCTTCTTGCTCTTCTTGAACCTCCCCTTTTTTATTTATTTCTAAAGCAAGGAATTGCTCTTCTTCAAGGAAGGATTTCTTCTTCACCAATCTCCTCTTTGGCTTTGCTTCTTCACCTACTTATACCACTTGTACATTGGTTTCAAGGATCTCTTCATTTTTCAATTGTTGGTAAGCGAGTCTTGTAGTTGATTTTTGCTAAAATCAACTAAAAAAATAAATGATATGAACATATGTATGAGAGAGTTAGAAGTTGATTTTAGCAAAAATTACCTTAAGAAAATAAGAATTGAAACCCAAAGAGGACGAGTTGTCAATCAGAGTTGAAATTGGACCCCAAAGCACAAAATCAAGCACCTAAAACGACTCTAGAATTCTTTTACAAATTAAAGAAATAAATTAGAAAGAAAACTTAAGAACAGATTTTTGAATATTAGCTTTATGTCATTTGGATTAATATTGAGACTTTAAAATATTTACAAAGTTAATGATTTACTTAGTAGGTTTGGATTTTAAAAAATAAAAATAAATTTATAAATTTGATGATTTTGTGAATTTTGTAGTGTATTTATAGATGAAAATTAGAAAATTTGTTGTTGTGATTGATTTTAGTGTATTTGAGAAATTTAAGATCAATCAAGCAGTTAAATTGAAGCATATGAAGGTTATTGTGGATTGTAGTCTTAGAAATTAGGACCAATGTGGATTTCTAAGATATCTATCAATTTGCTATTTGGATTAAAATATATATTTTTTTAAATATATCAATCTTGATTTTCAATAATTTTTAAAATTTTAGAACAAATAGAATGGTGAAATTAAGAGATCATGGCTCACAAATTTCAACATCAAAGTTAGAAAAGTAAGCAAACTAATTTCTAAGCAGAGTTTTGAAATTATTATCTATTTAATATTTATAATCTTCTTTAAATTTATTGTGCTTGCTGCTATTTCAGTTTTTACAAGGCATAAAAAATTTGAGTCAAAATCAATAGTTCCATCATTAATTATTGAATTTTTAATCAGCTATAAGATTTATTAAGAATTTGTTTAAGATTTATGATTTGATTAGAGATTGATTAAAATTGGTTTAAGATCTAGAATTTATCTTGGATATGATTAGGATTGTTTTAGGATCTGATTAGAATTTAGGATTTGTTTAGAATTTGATTAGGATTTAGGATTTAAGATTTTTTTAAAGATTTGATTAGAATTTGATTAGGATTTGATTCATTTTTTTTTAAGATTCGATTAAGGTTATACTAAAATTTTGTAATAATTGGTCTTAGGCTTAGGATTTTATTAAAATTTCATTAAGGTTTTATCTAGGATTTGGTTGAAGTTCATAAAAGTTTTAATTAGGATTGATCTAGAATTTGGTTAAGATTCATTAAGATTTTAATTAAAATTAAATTAATATTTAATTATGATTTATTTAAATTTTTATTTTTAATATTTTAAAAATATTTTTTATTATTTTTTTAAAAGTATCTATTTTTAATTTTTTAAAATATTATTTTTATTTTATTAATTATTAATTTTTAAATTTTTTAAAGATTTTTTTGTTATTTTTTTTTAAGATTAATTTATGACTTTTTTGGATTTCTTTTGTAATTTTTTAAAATTTTATTTTAAATTGGATAAAGTTTGATTGGAATTATTAAAGATTATTTAAAGTTTATATAAGACTCTATTAGACTTTGTAGGATTGTTGTTGTATTTGTACTTGCCTTCCATAGCTAAGTACCTAATGCATTTTCAAGCAAGACCACGTAATTTGAAAACAGGCCATTTTCTTAAGGCACTCGAGATATACTTCCAGTTAATAACAATTTTGCACCCTGCTTTATGCCCTCTACATAAGGTTAATCTTAGAGTGAAAAAGGTGGCCCTTTCAACCACTCATTTGCCACCTTAGAGTGAAAAAGGTGGCCCTTCCAATCGCTCATTTGCCACCTTGTCACAACATTCTCATTGATATCAAGAATGCATTGGCTCAACTTACTACTTTCATTTTTTCATGGCTTTTTTTAAAAAAGCAAGAAAGAAGGTCAACTTTTTTGATCCTTATAACATAGTACATGCAAAATGAGAACTCACTACAAGTTGCTCCATTTGTCATCATCTAATGTAATGTAAGGTAATATAACACCAATATAGTCAAGCTTGTCATATTACATCTTCCACTTTTTCTCCCTCCTCCCTTATTCTTTCTCTATTTGTTTGAATTGTGATTATAAACTCTTCTTTTTGTATCAAATTTATGTAATTTAATTTATTTTATTATAAAGTATCTTTAATTTGAAAAAAAAATTGGGATAGTTTTTGAATTCAAACAAATAGGTCTTTTCATTGATCAAAATTGTGTATTTATTTTGTCTTTTTATTAATCAATATATTAAATTTAAATCTTATTAGGTATTTAATTAATTAATTAATTAATCTTTAAAAAATAAAATATATTTTTATAAAAAAATAATTAACAAAGAATATGAATATTTAAGAGCATTATTATCTTGTTTTTATTGCATGTGTTGTATAAAATGAAATGCAAAACACAACAAAGTATAATAGTGTAGTAGGAATATCAAGAAATTATTACAAACATACATATTTATTCCAAGCTAATTATGTGGCATACATGTAGAAAACTTACCTTACAAGTTAAAACATGTGTTTAGCAAAGTCAACACATATTAGATGTCTTATAAAATATTCTCACATAGCTCTTAGTTAGATAGTATATATAGAGGCAAGAGTGAAGTCTTTTTTATCCTTGTCAATGTCTTTTTAGTTGTTAGTCTTATTTTAAGACTTTCTAATTTTCTTATCTTTAGCAATAGTCATTCTAGTTTAATATTATTTCATCTTTGAATAATTTTCTAGTCTTTTTGAGTGACACAAGAGTGTATTGACTTTTTAATTTTTTAAGGTTCATATCTCTAATAGTTTGACAAGAGTACTAATCCATTTTTCTTATTTTTTTTAAAAATAAATAGATTACTTCACTTCTATTATTATATTTTGAAGGTTATAGATTATCTATCTTTAAATAAATTATTTAATTTTTTGGCACTGATTTTTTTTTTAAAGACAGTAGATTATCCCTCTTTGTAGAGATTTTTATTTGATATTAGAGGTTAGAAAATACCTTCCTCTAATTTGACTTATAAATTTATTAAGTTATTTGAAATAGAA